GGCGGTGACACAAGTGCGGAAGCTGGGGCTGCTGGGGTGTAGCAAGACGGGGCAAAACTACTTCGGGACTGTCTCTTGCGGCGAGCGAGGAAACTGTGTGCGGTGCGAGACCGCAGGACACTCGTGTAAATTTTGTCAGAATATCAGAAACATGTCTGAAATCCTGATCAAAATTCGCGCACCTCTGAAAGCTGAAATTCTGAAAACTTACTCTGATTTTGATGGTTTGAGTTCTACAGACTGTCAGGAGATGTTTTCAGCTTTCAGAGGTGCGCGAATTTTGATCAGGTTTTCAAACAGGTTTCTGACATTCTGACAAGATTTACACGAGTGGACGGTGTCACAGTCACAGCCCCGCGAGCGTCATGCCGCCCGCGACGTCATCGGCGAGCTCTCGGGTCGCGTGCCGGGGCGGCGTCAAGCTCAGCGGACTGCTTCACCTTCTCCAGGGGTGCGCGAGGCGCGCAGCGCGCAGCTCGCAGGCACATGGGAACGCACGCACGCACACACAAACAAACTCACACACACACACTCACGGCGCGCAGACACATTTATTGTTGCAGCTGCCATTTTCTCGCTGGGAAGACGGGGCGTCGTCGCGGAGGTGGCCGTCGCCCCGTCCGTCCATCCGTCGGTCCGGCCGGCCCGGCCGCGCAGCGCCGCAGCATCCCCGACGTTTCGCGTTTCTCCGTCTTTGTCTCTCGGCTTGTTTCCCCCGCGTGTGGGAACCGTGCCGACCCGACGGCCGACCCGGCCACACCCGGCCGCCATTTGGTGCGCTCCGTTTTTAACGTTTTTACCGGCGTCGCCGCTCTCGCTCGCGCAGGACCCCTTTCCAGTGTGCCCGCGCCAGGACCGAGGGTAGTCGTTCTGTCTCCCTCACACCTCCACGGACGCCCCCGCGCGCCGCGAGAGCGAGGGAGACACAACGAGGGTGCACTGTGGCAAAAAGGTACGGAAAATTCTGTTAATTTTTTTTGCCAGGATTCTCCGTAGCCCTCTTATCAATATCCTCCGTAGGCTCTTACAGTATTCTCCGTAGGGCCGTACAGTATTCTCCGCAGGACCGCACAGTCTTCTCCGTAGGGCATGGAAGACTGTATAGTCCTACGGAGAATACTGTAAGGTCCTACAGAGAATACTGTGCGGTCCTACAGAAAATACTGTAAGAGCCTACGGAGAATACTGACAAGGGGGCTACGGAGAATTACCACAAGCTGTTTACAGAATTTTCCGTAGCTTTTAGCCACAGTGTGGGTTGGGCTAGGTTAGGCCAAGGGTTAGGCGACCCTCGCATTGCGCCATAGCGCGGTGCCAATGGGCTGCCTGCTTGCTTGCTGCTTGTTGCGCAGAGAACCAACAGTTCAACAGAACGCGGTCGGTGCAGCGCGGCGCCTGGTTTGGTTTCTCGCTTCCTCTTTCCTCGAGTCTTGCAGTGCAATCGCTGCATCGCCGAGCGAACATGCGCCAAACAAAACTGTGGCCGCATCGCCCGAAGTGTGGCCACGGCGCCGCCCCCAACGATAGTCAGCCTGGACGGCCTGGACGGTCTGGAGGGTCTGGACGCGGTCTGGACGGTCTGGACGGTCTGGACGGTCTGGACGGTCTGTACGATCTGGACGACGCGACGGCGGCAAAGCATCAAGTCTGCTCCACTCCGGATGCCGTTCATCCGGCCCGACGACCCAACCCGCAACGCCGCGGACAAAGTTTTTTTTTTTCATTCTCCTTTTTTTCCTTTCTTCTCATTCCGGGTTGGCGAGTCGCTGGCCCGTTTTCGTTATTCCTTTTATTTTCGGATTCATCTGCCCGTGCAGGAAGGCAGTGTCGGCGCCGCGGCATTGGGGCGGCGCGTGGCGCGGCGCGGGTTGCGTCATCAACAAATCTGCCGGTTTGCGGGTCAAACAAAGTGGCTGAAAATGTCGACTTTGAAAGTGTTTTTTAAAGCTCCGTTTTGCATGAAAATTCTGCGGCCGGTGGCGGGATTCGAATCCACGCGTCAGCGGCTTGGATAACAGTGCCGTGGTCTGTTGAGAGTGATCGTGTCTAGTCGCCGTTAGCGCCATGGTGCGAGTGCGAGTCCGGCCTCGTTCGTTTTACTTCCAACTTTTGTTTTCGTTTTCCTTCTTCGACCACCGCGTGGCATGTGTGGTCGAGCCCTCCGGCGGGTCGCTGCCCCCGTGCGCTGCTGCTGCTGCGTCACTATTACCATATCTGGCGTCAGGGTCAGTACTCCCCCCACCCCGCTCCTCTCCTTTTCGTTCTTCGGCCCTAGGGCGCAGGGCGCAGGCAGCCTGGAAGCTCTCTGGCAGGACCTACACTGCCAAACCACGGGGACAGACTCGACCGTCGCTCAACCCCTCTGGTGTTAGGTTCCGCGGTGCAGGCAGTGTAGGCTTCGCTCTTCGTGCCGCCTGCCTCCGTCTGCCTGGGCTGCCCGCCGCGCCCCGTCCCGTCCCGGCCGAGGCCGGTTTGTTGTCGCCAGTCGCCTGGCACCGCGGACCTCGCCGCGGACACCGCATCGCATCGCGCGGTGCACGTAAGGCGTCGTCGTCTGCTTACGCGGCCAACGCAGCCCGCCCGCCCAGGACCGCCCCGCGCCGCCCCGCGCCGCCCCGCCAGGACCGGCCTGCATATTCAGCATCTACTTTCGCCAGTCGGGTCCCCTCGGCCCCTCCCTTCCCACCCGCCGGCAGCGCACAGTGGGCCAGAAGACCGGTGGAGGCGGCCGAAACTCTAGACGCGTTTCGAGCTCCAGAGTCGCTAGACAGGCCTCGAACTGAACGTGTGACCCCACCAATGGATTCCTCGTTCGGAGAGCAATCCGTTGGTGGGGTCATACGTTCGGTTCGAGTCCCATTTAGCGACTCTGGAACTCGAAACGCGTCTAGAGTTTTGGCCGCCTCCACCGGTCTTCTGGCCCACTGTGCAGCGTCGGCCTCGGGTCGGCTTGGCGCCGCCGCGTGCGGCCGCGTGCCCTCGCCGTCGTGTCACTCTCACGCCCTCACGGAGTGTCCGTGGGTGCGACAGAGACAGAGTGACGACCAGACGACCCCTCTGAATCGCTCGGCAGGGCGGAAGACGCGAACGAGATGACCTGGGCGCTGCTACCCCGCGCCCCGCGTCAGAGGGCTCTTAGAGGCGGACTCTTAGAACGCGGGGTACCGGTGGATGGAGGCGAGAGGAGAGGGTGCCTGCCTCTTAAGATTTTCATGTAAACTGATTATATTTAGAGTATGGTTACATGTGATTTTTTTGATTATTTTATTATTTATCTTTATCATTGATTATAGGAGGGTATTATTGTTGATTATTGGGAAATATTGGGGATTATTTGAGCGCCGACCTCGGAAAGCTGTTAAAGTGTCGGAAATTCAATATTGGTGACTTTGGGCAGCCACTGCGTCAAATTTAGTTGCGGTCATAGGCCTTCCTCGACGCCGTACTATTCTGAAGACCCTACTCTGTCATGCCCCGCCTCGGGAAGGCTTTGACCGCTGATAGTTTGGGAGCAGAGGTCTCGCAAAAATGGTCAAAAAGTGAATGAATTTCAGAAAATCACCGTTTTTGCTGACTTTGAGCGGTCACTGCATCCAATTTAGTTGCGGTCAAAGGCCTCCCTGGACGCCTTACTATTCTGAAGACCCTACTCTTTCATGCCCCGCCTCTGGAAGGCTTTGACCGCTGATAGTTTGGGAGCAGTGGTCTCGCAAAAATGGTCAAAAGTGATTGAATCCCCGAAAGTGTGATTGTCATTTGATTGGTTGATGTTGATTTTTTCACTGATTACCAACTAGACGTGCAATGATTATCTTGCGTTGGGTACCCCTTGGCGCCTGCTCACAGAGACGACGAATTGTGCCTTGGTCGGAATGCCAGGGCCTCGTAACCGCGCGGGGCAGCGAGGCGCTGGTGGAGTCGTGGCCTGGTGCCCAGCCAAGCAGGCCCTGCGCCCTGCAGGCCGACCATGGTTCCTGACCCGCAGCCTGACAGCCTGACAGCCCGGCTGTCTGGCCCTTGGGAAGGACGTTGTTTGCTCGCGTCATACTGCGTGGCCCCACAACAACAACATCAAGAACACGCGTAACCAAAACGCAGCCTGAAAAGAGGATGTCCGCACCACCACACGAACGGGGATCAACATGCCTGGGTTTGAATTTCAATGAGCAATGTTCCCTAAACACGAGAAAGTGCTCAACAATGGACGAGATTCGTTTGGGGCCGGGCGGTGCAACTGCTCGTTGATCTACCGAAGGTGTTGCCTGCAGCAGGACATACCCGCTCCACGAGCAGCCAACTGCTGCAACCTGGCCGCAACATTGCCGCAGTTTCCCGCCCGAGAGCCTCCCCACCCCTTTGCCCCCAGCCGACTGGCTGCCGACTGCCGATCGGCGCACGCATTTGAGACCCGATAGACCGCTTGAAACGTCCGCTTCCTGCGGACGAAAAAAGAAAACAAAAACAATGGCTAACTGGGCGCGGAAAATGAAACGACGACCGGATCTTGCACTTGCCGCCGCCGGGTTGGCAGGGTTGGCTGCCCTGCCTCGGCGCGCCGCGGATGCCGGGCATTTGATGGGCCTAAAAAACGCGGCGCGGCCAGGAAGTGCAATCTGCTCTTCATCGTCCGACACCGACCGATTGCCTTCAAAGAGCGCGCCGCCGCGAGCCGCGCGGCAAGGCACGGTGTCCCTAGGAGGCGACCGCCACGTCGCACAGTGGGCCAGAAGACCGGTGGAGGCAGCCAAATCTCTAGACGCGTTTTGAGCTCCAGAGTCGCTTAACAGGCCTCAAACCGATCGTGTGACCCCACCAATAGATTGCTCTCCGAACGAGGAATCCATTGGTGGGGCCACACGATCGGTTCGAGGCCTATTTAGCGACTCTGTAGCTCAAAACGCGTCTAGAGTTTTGGCCGCCTCCACCGGTCTTCTGGCCCACTGTGCGTCGACGCCCACGCTTCAACTGGATTAACGGTTTGCTCTGTTTTCTGTTGGCAGATTATCGTCGCGAGCCTCGGAGTCGAGGTAAGGAAGTGGCACGGCTGTTCGTTTGGGGAGGCGCCCAGGTGACCTTGACCCGAGGCGCACGGACTGGCCCGGACCACTCGTCGCCTTCATGTTACTTGGAGCCCTGAGTCCAGCAACCCGGTGTTCTTCGTGGGCCGCCATAGACTCGGCGGCGTTCTCCACGGCGAAATGGCCGACCCGAATGGGCCCATCACGGCAGAGCGCCGACTGTGCGAACGCCCGCGAATGCGCGACGCCCGGAGCGAACGCCCACGACGACCGCAGTAGAGGCCGGCCGGCCCCGCGCAAGGCCCCGCATCGCCCCGCCATCATCGCCCCGCCCGCCAGTTTACTTACGGCGCCACACACGTTTGCCGCCGTAACTTTCGCTTTCTCGGGGGCTGGCTGGCTGGCTGGCTGGCTGGCTGGCTGGCTGGCTGGCTGGCTGGCTGGCTGGCTGGCTGGCTGGCTGGCTGGCTGGCTGGCTGGCTGGCTGGCTGGCTGGCTGGCTGGCTGGCTGGCTGGCTGGCTGGCTGGCTGGCTGGCTGGCTGGCTGGCTGGCTGGCTGGCCGGCTGGCTGGCCGCGGCGGGCCTCCTCCCCCGCAGTGCGCCGCACTGCCCGGCAGTGCAGTCGCGGCGCGGCACGCGGATGCACGCAATGTCGCCCGTCGCGGCCGCCACCGGTGGCAGGGTCAGGGGTCGCGGGTCACGGGTCACGACCAATCGCCTGGCCGTGCTCCACCACCGCGCTCCGCTTGCGCAACCGCCGGGAGCCAGGAAGCGCGCAGCGCGCGTCCACAGCCAAAGCCGAAAGCCGAACTACCAATAGACGACTTGAGCTAGGCGAAAGAAGAGGAAGAAAATACCTACCTTCCCGAACATGGCGGACGGCCGCCGTCGGCTGCTAGGACCAATGAGGGGCCGGCCGCCATGTTCGGGAAGGTATTTTCTTCCTCTTCTTTCGCCTAGCTCAAGTCGTCTATGATTATTGAGGTATATTGAGGTTTGGGCTGACTTTCGGCAGCCACTGTGCGTTCAATGCAGGCCGAGAAATCGCACTCCCTTAACGGGGCACACTCTTAAAACCTTACGAAGTATTTAGAGCATACATATAACAAACTAAAATACTTTGTTATACGAAGAAATAATTCTTAAATTACGAAGTATTTTCTTTGTCAGCCTACGTATGCTCAAAATACTTTGTTATACAAACTACTTTTCTTTGTAAGGCCCAAAATAGTTTGTAAGGTTTTCTCAGTGCAGTATTCTTCGATCGTTTCTTTAGCAAGCCTTTTCTGCGGAGTGCTCCCAAACCGCCTTGGTTTGGGAGCAGTCTCGCGTCAAAGTCGGTCGAAACGGGGAAAAGGGAATCGTTTGCAGAAAAACTGCATTGAGTTGTGCACGTTTTTATTTTGAGACGGAATATTTGGCAGAGTGGAGTGAGAAGGCGCTGGATATTGTTCCATCCCGCGGCGCGGCAGGGAATGCATGCACAATTAGCTAGGAAAACAGATGCACGCCGCGTGCCGCGGCTCGCCGGCTCTGCGGCTTCCCACGCGACTCTTCTTTGGGCTTTAAAATCTCCTGCAGTTCGCCGCCGGGGTATCTCGACGCGAGGATCTGCATGGCACGACTGCACTGTCAGAAAAGAGGCTTTTACGAATCATCGCGGCAGGGAGACGGAGAAAGTGAGTCTGGCAAGAGACAAAAGAAGACATTTCAAGTCAAAGTTTTCGGAAACAGGACTAACTTTTTCAAGGGTGTTTACTTTGAAAATGCCCAAGACTTTGATGATGATTGCCCGCACGCAACAGAGGTCCGGACGGATCGCTTTGATTTCATGGAATTTCCCGGCAGTGTACGGGCGTGGGAACCGCAGTCCCGGCCGCTCCCGGACCCGACGGCCAGGGCCGCCCAGAGGGCCGCCGCCGCCCTGGTCCTGACCCTGCACACGCCAGCCGCTCTCGCGGGCGCGGCGGGGCGCGGCGGGGAGGGGGGGGGGGATTTTCATTAACACCTTCCACGCGACCTCCATATGGGCCGCGCGAGCTCCGAGTGAGAAGCTGCTGAGTATGAATGCATGCAGGGGTCGGCGGACTAGTCATGACGCTCTCCCCAACGACTGCGGCACGCTCTTTCCGTGAGTCGAGCTCACGTCGAGGCAAACAGTCGCAAAACAATCGCATCACTTTGTGCGGGGACTGTACCCACAACGCCTCCGGGCTACTCGAGCCGGCCGTGCTTGTGTTGACAATGTTCCTACAGTGCCCATCAAGGAGAACCTGTCCATTTAGTAACGCAGAGGGAATGTGGTCCTTTCCTTGCTGGACGCTGTACGCCGGGCCGGGCCGGGCCGCCACATTTGGGGCATGATCCAGTGTTATGTAGTCCACCGGACACCTACCCGTCGGACTCCTGGACGCGCTCCGGCCGTTCCGGACCGGCCCGCGGACCGGACCAGGTTGAGCCGGTACGGTACCTGCTCCAGGCTCGGCTCCGGGTGGCGGCTGCGCGGCGGCGCGGCGGCCCGTCCGGAAGCATCCGGTTTGTTGCATAAGACGTGTGGTCGCCGACCGTCACCGACGCGCCGCGGTGGTGGGGGAGGCGTCCACACTCGACCCGACCCTCGGTCCACCACGCGGTCGCCGCGGCGTCGCGTCGGCCTGGGCTCGGCCAGGGCGCCGTGCCGTGGCGCCGCCGGACCCATTCCGTCCTCACCGTCGTCCTGGTCGTCCTCCTTGCGGGCGCACTGGGGCAGTCGACCGGGCTCGACGCGAAGTAAGCCGAGCAGTGCGCCGCCACGCCGCCAGTCCACCATCAGCGGCGCGTTTACTGCCGCGGTGTTGCGTCGCGCGGTGCTCGTGGTTCGGCCCATCACCGCCACCGCCATCACAGCAATCACCGTGGCCGGGCTGCTCCGGGCCGCGGCCGTCTGACTCACTGCAGGTGGGGGCTGCCCTATCGGCCCAGCATGCGCAACGCAGCGCACCCGGAGGTGACGGTGCCCGCCTGCCTGGGGCTCCTCCCGCACCGCTGCGGCCACTGCGGCCCGCTCGCCTCCCGGATGGGCCGCGACTACGAAACACGTCCTTCGCCGCCACCTTTCGATGGAGCACCTCGTGCGTCCGGGACGGTCCGGGAGGACGCGTTTTCCCCCACCCTTCCCTTAAGGGCACGCCGAACCGAGGGGTTACCCACTCGGTACTTGGGCGTACACACGATTCCGGATTCCCGCGATTCCTGAACAAATCTTGCATAAAAGGAGAGGTTTTTGAAGATTTTTCTAAGCTTTTGAGTGTTTTGTGTCTATTACATATCCCTCTCCATTGAAACTTTTAAGATTTTCGATAAAATTTTGAGCAAATTACGAACGATTCCCGGACTGAGTGTACACACGATTCCCGGAGTGGGTAACCCCTCGCGCCGAACACGAACCTCGGCGTGCTCCCCGCGCCGCAGACTCCGCTTAAGGCCATCTTCGGGGCCGAAGACTCTGGTTTTGGGTTGGGTGTACTTTACACTGGGGTTTCATTTGCTCCGATTTGCTCTCACCCCTACGCTTTGCCAACTGGGGCCGGACGACATCGAATGCTGGTTCGGATTCGCACTTCTGTGCGGCAGCGGCGCCTTCGCCATCCCCATTCAGGTCGGCCCGCCCCTCTCGCCTCCCGCCCTCTTCCTGCTCAGCCAAAGCAGGCAAAGGCGGACATTATGTGCGCATGTGTGTGTACGGGTCTGTGGTGTGTGTGTGTGCGTGCGTGCGCGCGGCCGAGCCGAGCGGAGAGATGCAGGAGTGCAGCTGCAGTGGTTGCGCAACGGCGCGCGGCCCGCGTGCCTGCCGCCCAGTGGCCCGGCGCGTCGGCCCGTCGGTGTGCTGCGTACTATTTCGGCCGCCCAGGGTGGACAGTGCACGACGTCATCGTTAACAGAGAGATGGCGTGGCCGCGTGGGTCGGCGCCTTGGTTTTCTACCCTGAGGGCAACGGTTCGATCCCCGCCACCGGAGCATGGCTTTCCCGGAAAGTCTCGTTTGGTGGTGAATGCTTATGTATGCCCCCCTCCCCCAAACACACAGACACACCGTGACCCTGCTTCACGGCAACGAGGCCGGAAGTGAGTCAAGCTGGTGGACGCAGGGACGCAGGGCTTGCCATGGGCGCGACAGGTGACCGCCTTTCTTTGCCCGACAAGCAGAGCAAGCAGAGCGAGGTCTTGGCTGGCCGATGGCGTTATGTACTCCGGGTGTGGTGGTGTGGGTGCGGCCAGTTGGAGCGAATTAAGACGTCCCAGCGGCGGGGAGGAAGTTCCCTCAAGGAACCCAGCTCCGGCTAAACTGAGAACAAATTCCTCGCTGCCGAAATAGTGAGAGAGAGAGAAGATGGCGGCACGCCGTGCAGCAGACAAGGACGGGGAAGACGCTCACGTCCGGAGGCGCCGCGGGGCGCGAGCCGCGGAACGGGGCGGGGCGGAGCGGGGCGGGGCAGGGCGGGGCGGGGCGGGGCGGGGCGGGGCGGGGCGGGGCGAGGCGAGGCGAGGCATCCCGACACGGTGCGGAGGTACAAACCACTCGTCGTTTCCGGGACTGCCCCAACAGCTGTGCCGGCTCGGCTAGGCTCGGCCCGGCTCGGCTGGCCACGCATAATCACTGCCATAATCCGCGAGGGAAGCCACTGCCACTGCAAGTCGCAAAAACTCGGAAAAGAGTCGAAAACGCGCCGGCGGCCCATCCGTACCCCGCCACGGCGTGCCTATGCTCGGCAACCGAAAGGTCGGAGGTTCGAACCCCGCGCGGGGCCGCGGGGCGCCTTCCTCTTCCCCCGTTGCCGCGACGCCGCACGCATTTTACAATAATTTGACACACTAACCCACCCCGCCGCGCCCCGCCCCGCCATGGTGTGGCAAGCCCTCGGGAAGGCCCGTCCGGCGGCAGGGCTGGCGGGACTGCGGGACGTTTTCCGGGGCCGTGCGCCCCGCGGCAGGATGCTGCAGGCAGGACTAAAGCCCACCGCCCGGCCGCCCCGCCCCGCCGCGCAACGCAGAACGGCAACCAGTGCGGAAAAGGGGGCCTTATTATCTCGGGGAAACGACCCTTGACACAAATCTCGCAAGACCACGCCGACCACGCCGACCACGTCCCCGACGGCCGACGTGCGCCTGGCAGTCTTTTCCAAACGCGGGGCTGACGAGGCGAGGGTGGACGTGCAAATGGCCGTCGCTGTTGTGACTGCCCTACTTCGGGCTGATGGAAGTTAGCCCCGGTGAGCCCGGGCCGGCCCGGGCCCCGGACGCGCGTTTTCGCCAGGTACTCGGTGCCACGTTGTTGTGGTTGTTGTCGTTTTGCAAACATTCATAAAAAAAGAAGGGGGTGAGGGAGTGCGAAATGGGGACGACCATTTAGTCTGAGCCAATGGCGTTGTAAAGTTGATGTTGGAAAGGCCGCGCCGCCGCGCCGTGTGGTTCGGGACTTGGAGACGGCCGCCGTAAGTCACCGCGTCACCGTCACCACATCGCTGCAGTGGCGCGTTCCCATTGGTTCCCATGACGTCACGCGTCGCGGCAGGACCACGGAGGAATGTAGGTCGATCCACGAAAACAAAGGTGTGGGTGGAGCAGGACGAATCGCCGCGCGGGTACACAGTCAGGATGTTGTGGCCATTTGTCTTTTCCCGGTGCATCAGAAGCGTTAAGACGCGCGAAGACAGATTTGGGATTCTAGGACGCGTTGTGCGTTGCGTGGCGAGCACGGCGACGGCCGAGGCCACGGGGCTGCGGCGTCCAGAGCCAGGCCAAGCCAGGCCAGGTCGTCAAGCGCGGCAGCGCGGCAGCGCGGCAGCGCGGCAATATGACGTGATGTGTTGAGTGTGACGCTGGCGCGCTGGCCGATGTTACGCGGCGAAAGTGCTGCCGGCGGTGGGAGGCGGCCGGAGGGGGGCCGCTCCGCGAGCGCTCCCCCTCCCCTCTTTCTCCGCCCTCCTCGTGCCTCTTTCTTCGTGACCCCCCCCTCCCTTCCTTCCTCTCCATTATGCCCCTTCCTGTCCGCGTTTGTCTTGGTGCTGTCACCGTTTTAGGCCTTTCTTCGTCGCGACGTCGCGTCACAGCGAGCCTCCGTTTCCGTTTACTCTCGGTCCTCTCTCTTTCTCTCCTTCTTTCTCTTTCTCTCTCGAGCACGCGGTGTCGTGCGGCATGCTTGTACTCGCGGACGCCGCGTAATATCTCACTCTAGCGCTTTGGTGGCGGCTTGGCTCGAGGCTTGGCTCGAGGCTTGGCTCGAGGCTTGGCTGCTGCGGCGCGGAGTGTCACGTGGAGGGTCTGGCGGGGCCGGCGGCGCCTCGCCTCTTAGTTCCCCGTCCTCATTTTTTTTCTGCTTCCTTCTTGACGGTTGGTTTTGTCAGGCCCCTACCCGGCCCGTGGATGTGCATGTTTAACCCCTGGGGCACCACCACGGCACCGCACCGCGATGTGGCGTGGCGATGTGGCGTGGCGATGTGGCGTGGCGATGTGGCGTGGCGATGTGGCGTGGCGATGTGGCGTGGCGATGTGACGTGGCGATGTGGCGTGGCGATGTGGCGTGGCGATGTGGCGTGGCGATGTGGCGTGGCGATGTGGCGTGGCGATGTGGCGTGGCGATGTGGCGTGGCGGCCCGAGGGGCGCGCGCTGAGCGCTGAGCGCTGCCCAGACTGACGCGGTGGCGTCACCTCCATTGGAAAGTGAAAATAGCCGCGGAGCTTCGGCCGCTTCGGCACGAGACACGCGACTGGAGATGGCCAGCCGGCCGGCGAGGCGGGGCGGCCCGACCCCATCCCTTCGCATTTTCGAGGCATCGAAACCGTGTGTTGTGTCCGTCGTTCCAGGCGGGGCTGCCTTGGGGGGCACACGCAAAAAAATAAATCGATTCAGAGCTAAAAAGTTAGCACCAGTGCTAATTTATCTAGCTCTGTAGGCCCAGCAAAATTTTTAGCTGCACAGCTAAAAATTATTAGCTGGGTAAATTTAGCTATGGAGAAAACGGAGATTAGTGGCATTGAAAACAACTCTGGCTGCATTAGCATTGTAGAATTCTTCATGATTGTGATATTTATTAGAAGGTGCGGGATTTTCTGTCTAAGACGGACCAGTCGTCCTGAGGCGTAAGGCTCCTCCGGGACAGTCGTGTCTCAAGGGACTTTAAAAATTGCTGACCATGGGTGATGTCACGGTGAGAACGTGGGGAGCATCCGTTCCCCGACTAACCCATCTCTCACTGCTAGCCACCAGCGCGAGCGAAGCGCCACGGAACGAACGTAGCCTTGCCCTATCTCCTAAACATTTTTGCTGCATTGTAAATCCCATTTTTGCAGCCATTGATTAGCACTGCAGCAAACTGAAGTAGCTGAATCCTCAAGAAATATAGGTTCCGGGAAAGCCGATCTCCGGCAGACCCTCAACTAAAGGAGCAGCGCTACTCAGCAGAGGTCGCTAGCAGAGTTGCAATTTTTTTAGCTGTGGTGCTAAAAAACGCCAACTAAGAAAGTTAGCTCTGGACTGACTTTTATTTTTTTGCGTGCATCCATAAAGTACGTCCGCACTCGAAGGGGGAGGGGGAGGTAGACAAAAGCGGACGTTGGCGGACGTGAGGGGGAGGGGGGGGTCCGAGGTGGTCGGACGTCCTACTTTTATACGAAGAAAATTAAGAAAAATTAGACGATTTGCGCCGTCTTTACGCGCGGCGCCGATGTCAGCGGCGACGGAAACGGAACATAGTCATATTTATTTTTATTTTCTGAATAACGCAGAAGGCCTCTTTTTGTGGCTTAACACGCGTTTTTTATCAGTTTACCCCCAAAAAAGCGCTTTATTGTTGAAATTTGGAATACTTTGGCCAAAATGGACGTCCAAAGGGGGGAGGGGGGGGGTCGCCGAAAGCGGACGTTAGCGGGCAGGGGGGGAGGGGGGGGTCAAAATTACCGAAAAAAGTGCGGACGTTCTTTATGGATGGCCCCTTGTGAGCGCAGAGCGTAAGAGCGCCCGGCAGGGTAGGCCGTCCCGTAGAGCACGGCTGTGGCCGGGGTGCCTACCCTCCGGGCGTTCTGCGCTCTGCACGGCGAGCGCGTTGAGGTCTCCAACTCCAACTTGTGCTCGTGTTGCAGGGTGGCGATGTGCCTGGCGCTGCTGCTGGCGCTGTCCGCATGCCTTCCGTCCAGCGAGGCGCTCGCCTTCAGCACCACGCACTCCAGGGCGCTGCACCGGCTGCTGCTGAACCAGCAGGAGATCAACGCGCTCAACTCGGCCAGCGGTAGCAGCAGACAGCCGTCGCCGAACCACATACAGCCGCCGCCCGACAAGGCGACGACGGAGCCGCCGCCCACCACGACGGAGCCGACGGAGCCTCCACCCACGACGACGGAGCAGGCGGAGAAGACACCGCCCTCGGACGACTTCAGCTGGACCGCGGTGTCGCGGTCGTACTACGGCTACGTCAACAAGACGACGACCACGACGACGCCCGCGCCGCCGCCCAACGACAACATCGACAACGTGACGGTGGGCAACGGCAAGGACGACGACGTGCCCGACGTGGACGACTACGCGGCGGCGTCCGCCGACGTGCAGCTGGAGGACGCGTTGCCGTCGGCCGCACCCCTCACCGGCGTGCGACTGTCGTCCCCCGCGCCCTTCCAGAACTCGTCCATCGACGCGGACGCGGTCGGCGTCGAGGACGCGGACCTCGGCGGCGCGGTGTTCCCGGCGTTCGGCGAGCGGACGGCGGGGCGGAGGCCGGCGGGGTTTGAGAACGGCGGCAGCCGGACCGGCCGCGCGGCCCGGAGAAGGCGCTTTCGACGCTACGTGCGCTTCCCCGGGGAGCTGCCGCCGCTGCCGCCGCCTCAGGAGGAGGCCACGGGGCGGCAGCTGTACCGAGGACCAGGGCCGCCGTCAGGACCGCCAGGACCTCCGCCGGGCTTCGTGACGGCGCCGAGCGGTAAGCCCTTTAGCCCTTTACTTTCTCCTTGATCGGTTATTATGCCCGCATTAGAGGACAGAGGGCGTGATTGGTGCCTTCCCGGCCACGGCCACGTTCTCTTGGCCGGACGAACGGGAAGGGCGGGCCGCGGCGGAACGGGGCGCCAAGGACGTGACCGACGTCGTCGTCGTCGTCGTCGTCGTCGTCTTCGCGTCGCCCTGCGCGTGGCGTCGCCCGGCGGCACGTGTCCCACACGCGTGTCTCCCAGTGTGTCTCCCACGCCTCGCGCCGCGGGATGCTTTCACATTTCATCGCAATGATACGTCTGTCAGCGCAACGCCGCGACGCGAGCGCGGCCAGGCCAGCCAAGGCCCACCGAGGACGGGCCGCCAGGCCGCCAGGCTGCCAGGCCGGGCAAGGCGATTCCGAAGGATCATTTCGTCGCTCTGTCTCTGTCGCTCCCTTTGGGCGTCTCGTAAGGGCGCGAGAGAGACGGAGAGGCGAAACGACCGCTCGGCAGGCCAGGGAAGGCCGGGGCCCGACAAAGGGAAACACTCATTACTCCGCTCCGCCCCTTTCACTCGCACCATCGAACCGAACCTCGCGGCCTGGCGGCCTGGCGGGGTGGACAATGCATCGGAATGCCGTCGGGCACCGTCGGGGCAAACACCAAACCTTGATGCCTTGTTGTTCCTCGTCCTGCCCGCAGCGTACGGCGGCTCGCCGGGCTTCTACTCGGCCAGCGGCGGCTCCTACAGTCCGTGGCAGCCCGGGCCGTCCTTCCACCCCGTGCACTACAACGGCCACGGCGGCCACGGCGGCCACGGCGGCTTCGGCGGCGGGCCTCCGAACCACGCGCCGCCGTTGCCGCCCCACGGGCCTCACGCCCAGCTGGGGCCGCTGCCGTCCAGCGGGCCGCGGTCGCCGCGACTCGTGTTCCCGCCGCCCGACATCCCCGGCGCCGTGCACGCGTCGCAGTCCATCTACTACAACAACCAGAACGCGCTGCAGGACCTGCGGCAGGAGGACCCTCGCGGTACGTCCCCGTCATCGCCCTCCACCACCTTTCCACGTTTCCTAATCATGACAGTCTGGTGATTTCCAGCAGGCGCTGCTCCGTGCTGCTAACCCTTGCCTTGCAGCGTGCGCAGCGTGTGTGTGAGTGAGTGTGTGTGGGTGTGGGCAGGCGTTGTACGCGGTGCGCTGTGCTTCCAGAGAGCGGCGACAGGCCGGACAGGCCGGACAGGCCCCTTGGCGCGCCGAGCCAGGGCGGCCAGGGCGGCCAGGTCTGCGGCGTCGGCGCCACATGCGAGTTCTTCTTGTCGTGCTGGATGGGCGGCGGGCTGCTGGACGGCCAGTGCGGCGCGCTGCTGCACGGCTGCTGCCGCCGCAAGCCGCGGACCACGGCCAAGATGGGCGAGCTCCCCCCCGCCGCCTCCAACGAGGTGCTAGCCCTGCCTGCTGACTTGGGACCCGTCAACAATGACCCCCGTAAGACTACAATGCAACGGCGCAACGGACCGACAGTGCTGGGGCTGCCCCCGGCCCGGGGACTGCGGCCCGGGGCTGCCCGCCAGCGGACGACCGGAGAGACCGGAGCCACGCGGAGCGTCCAGGACTGGGACTGAGGGTTGCTATAAAAGTTTTGAACAGGGGATCAGAAGAGAAAAGGGGTAGTGGGAGTGTAGTCGCAGAAGCTGGACCAGAGAGCATGCAACAACCTGACGGGATTTTGAATTCATTCAGTTGAGGCAATGGGACGCTCTCAAGCTGATGTGCCCCTCGCTGCACTTGTACAATACACTGTGCACTTTTACATACGCACTTCCGCGGCCCCTTCAGCACCGCGTGCAAGAGGAGACGTTTCGACGTCCAGGGCAGAAGAATGGAAGTGCAAACTAATTTTCCGGCCGCGTGGATCCCCGCATCCCCATATCCCCGGCGCGTAGCTCGCGCTACCTCGCGCTGCTCGCCACGAAGTGCACACAGTGGAGCGAGTTGCGTCGCGGCGGCGTCCGCCGCGCCGCCTCCCCCTCCAGCCCGTGGGCCCCGTGGACCCTGTCCCGTCATGTGCTGTGCCGACATGACATTCGCTACATAATAGTGCTCCTCCTCCGACAAGACGGAGGACAGGGGGGAGTCCGTCGGAGTCGCGCACCCAAAGCACACGAAACGCTCAGGAAGCAGTCAAAGAAAGTCAGAACGACATCAAAATGATGTTATTTGGTCGAAATTTAACTAAAAGTAGTCATTTGAGGACATGGACAGCGTTTCGTGTTCTTTAGGTTAAATTTAATTTCTTTGAAATCTGGCCCTAGGTGCGATTGCTTGAAGACCGCACCGCTAGGAGATTCATCCGCCTAAGGTGCGGGAGTAGGGAATGATACAGGCCGGTGCTAGGGCGAGGGTGGGTGGGCGAGATGAGGGCTTTCTTGAGCAGGGACGGGACGGGACGCCGGGACGGCACTATGACCGAGGGACTGTTTGGTGGCGGAGACGACGGCAAGCTTGCTTTGGGCGGTGGTGGCAATCCGGGAATGGCCGCATGTTTCCCACTGTGCGATGTAACGATGTAACTCTGGAGGCTGAGAGGGCGTTCAGCAGCTGCATCCTTCTCTGTCTCGCCACTGCATGATGCACGACTTTTTCTCTCTTACTAACTTGCGTGCGCTCGGACGGGTGCGCCACATTTTTCGGGCTTGAACATGAATCAACATCACGCCGCTCAATTCAACGCTAACACTTTTTTCACTAACGTTCGAATTTACACTGAATGACACACTACGCGTGTAGCATTCTCCTGCATGTGGACCACAGCAAGCATCGTGTTTTTATCTTTCCCCATGTATTTGTTTACACAATTTTGCAATTACAATTGAAAAAGCTAATTACTTCGTACACGACACGACCGTGGGCTTGCGCGGTATCCACGCTCACATGGGTCCAACGCCCACGCTGGAATACTTCGGGGGGGGGGGGGAGACTAGAAATCTCGAAAGCACTCGAGATCTGCTTCTCACTTTAACAGTAACAGCATCAGCTCGGCCCAACCTGAGATAAGTTTAGCCGAATCTGTGACGCTGTGAGCGAGCAGGCGGCAGTCACAGTGCAGTCACAGAGCACCGCATGATGGCCCCCTGCATGCCTGCCACCCCACAAATTATGACTGACGAGCACACCGGACAAAACAAGACTGCCAGGACTGAGGACTGACCCGCCGACTTGACGTTTCGACGTTTTCCCCATGGACCCTTGTCCGTGGCCAACACGTAAATGAATCCAAGTTACAGGCAAGGGCCCGCACCCGAGACCCTAAACGCCGTTTACTTGTAGTTATGTATTTATATGACTTATTTTATACATTCATAGCAACACACCACGCTGTAAAAGAAAAATTAAAAACTTAAATGTCATTTTGCTTGCAGTGTCGTCATTAAAGTTCTCATGAGGAGTCTGCCAATTTGTACACTCTACATGAGCTATGACAAATACGAATGCGACACTGTCTACATATAGTGTTCTAATTTAGAACTGTTTTTTTTTTTTCAAATTTCCTTCTTTGTAACTATTTATTATTATACACATCGTTCTTTTTTCTTTTTTAGCTATCTCTCCCCTTTGCCTACTCGGAGATGCAGAAGTCGAAAAATGTACAAGGAGTTTTGGGAAACTTTGAAGTCTTGGTTGTCTATTGTCTATTTCTCTTCAAAATTGTATCCTAACACAGAAATTTCCTGCTGTATTGTACTAATTTTGTTGGGTTATTCTGGTTTGGTTTTGCCACAGCCTACTGTGTTCAGCACGTGTTTGATCGCCTTGATCATGTATCCAGAACTACTGTACTTTCATATTTTTCTCTCCACCGTGTAAAAACGTGACAATAACGTCTGTTCTATTGCATGCCCGGTTTGTATTGAGAACATTGGCGAGAGGGGGTGAACAGTGCACAGGGTGGGTGTGCCGGCAGAACAGCAGAGACTCAAAGTGTACCAGGCCTTGGGTTCAAACACCAGTTAAAGAATTTTTGCGTGATGCGCGTTTCCCCGCCCTGTGCACGGGCTACCCCCACTCCCTGCCTCTGTATGTAGTCTACTCGTCGTCGTGGTGTTTAACATGCTGTACCCTTACTAACACATTCCTCGTCCTCCCTCCACCCCTCCTCGGTCCCCTGCATCCCGTGCCGTCGGCTCTCGGCCACTCTCAGTGCCCCGGCGAGGCGCGGCGAGGGCGAGAGTAACCGTTGCCGCACAGAAAGAGCTAGAAACCACAAAAACTATCGGGGCAACGTGGGTGTCTCGTCTGAATAAGTGGATCCGATTCGATGCGGTTCCTCGGGTCTTCGGTCTTCCCTCGACGGCATGGACGGCTGCGTTGCCGACCAAGTTGCTGACCCTTTGCCTTCCTGCAGGGTGCGGGGTGTCCCCGGGCCGGCTGGGCGCTCAGCGGCGGATAGTCGGCGGCGACGAGGCGGGCTTCGGCAGTTTCCCGTGGCAGGTCAGTGTCCTGGGTCCCTGGTCCCGCCTTCGAGCACCTTGCTCCCTTTCCCAGTGCTCACCACTGTCTTGTGCTGCCCAGGCGTACATCCGAATCGGCTCCTCGCGGTGCGGGGGCTCGCTGGTGAACCGGTACCACGTCGTCACGGCGGGCCACTGCGTAGCAAGGTAAGGCCACTCCATCGGTTTGCCCTTCGGTCCTACAGTGCGGTGGCCGGACTGAGTGGACTGGCTTGACTCGGGACTGCTTGCGCTGTTCGCGCTGCCTGCAGGGCGTCGGCACGGCAGGTGCAGGTGACGCTGGGGGACTACGTCATCAACTCGGCCGTGGAGCCGCTGCCGGCCTACACGTTCGGCGTGCGCGAGATCCGCGTGCACCCCTACTTCAAGTTCACGCCGCAGGCCGACCGCTACGACGTGGCCGTGCTGCGCCTGGACCGGCCCGTGCAGTACATGCCGCACATCGCGCCCATCTGCCTGCCGCAGAAGGGCGCCGACTTCCTGGGCCAGTACGGCTGGGCGGCCGGCTGGGGCGCGCTGCAGGCAGGTCAGTATCGACAGGATGGGTGGCCTACCCTCCAGGCGGTCCTCGTTCCGCTCGTGCTAACCGCGGTGCCATGTCACGTGTCACAGGCTCCCGCCTCCGGCCCAAGACCCTCCAGGCCGTGGACGTGCCCGTCATCGACAACCGGCTGTGCGAGAAGTGGCACCAGAGCAACGGCATCAACGTCATCATCTACGACGAGATGATGTGCGCGGGCTACCGGGGCGGCGGCAAGGACTCGTGCCAGGTATGGAGCGGAGTAGCCCTGAAGTAGTGTTTGTGTGCCCTCTGTTCTCTGTTCGTGTTCCTCAATGTCTCGTCCGACGCCTCGTTGTTGCAGGGGGACTCGGGCGGCCCGCTCATGATGGAGAAGACGGGGCGCTGGTACCTCATCGGCATTGTGTCGGCCGGCTACTCGTGCGCGCAGCGTGGCCAGCCCGGCATCTACCACAGGGTGGCCCACACCGTCGACTGGATCTCCTACATCGTCAACAGCCACAAGCTGTGAGCTGTGCCTCCTGGGAGGCCTTTCCTTTCCCAGAGACTAGAGACCCTCTCTTCCCCTCGAGAGTCTGGACCGAGGAGCGGGCGACTGGCCGCCGCCGCGACGCCGCGGTCCGGACTCTCGTGAACGCAACCGGGTAACATAGTGGCATAAGCAGGGCTGGCGCCGATGCTGTTTTCGGGAAAGACGGTCAAGAGTAAGAAGTAAGTTTTCTCTTCAAATGTGATATTAGCGATGTTGCACGCCAGGGGACGAGGCGAGGGCGACTGGGCGCTCCGCCCCGAGGGCCCCCCGCCCGTCTCCAGCGTCTCCAGGGACTTGTTGACTTTGTCGCGCTCGCCGCCGGAGCGAGTAGGTCTAGTCGAGACAACACGGCCCCGCTGTGTGGGAACTCACCACTAGATTCCTTAATTTATTATTATTTTTTATTGTGTGATCGAGGTGGTAAGCGTAGGACGGTTGGAGTGCTGGAGCATGGCAAGCATGGCAAGCCTGGCTGGAGGGAATGCCATCGAAGCATCGACGTGTGGTCGAGATGCGTGCTTTCATTCCCGGTTTGAAGCGGGCATGTGCTTCTGGTTTCGTGTTTCGAGGCGAGTATCTGTTTCCGTTTGGATGCCTGCATCTGTGCGTCCGTCGCGGGGCAATTTTGTATCCATTTAAGCAAGCCATACCAATGAGACCCTCGTTGGAAAAAAGTTAGTGTGGTGTGGTCACACTTGTTCAATATGGAGCTTTACTACAATTTACTTTGAATTCTGTTGAGATGATGGTTGCTGTATGCAGATTGGTGAAATGATGTATTTATATTTTGTGATGATAGACTCGAGATTTGGAATTAAATTATTTTTGTAGAAAGTAAATTCAATCAGTCATGTTAGATGAAATGAAAATCCATCCATGATGTAATTATTACACAATCTCCTCTGAAGGGGTTCCTTATTTCACTTTTAAATTGGATGAAGAGACTGATTGCTTTCAAATGACAAGACTACCAGTTACATTTTGTTTGGGACTGTGAGACAATTTTGAGACAATTGTAGTAGTGTGTTTCAAAATCCTAGGTATTTGTATGCTTATTATTGTACATAGGTTGACAGTGTATAGATGTCTTTACAACAGTAAAAATCCTCTTGTAATGAAATTTTAAAGTTTTGAAGATGTAAATTATTTATATTTAATAACTACCTGTGAAGTAAAGATACAACCAAGTTACCGTTCCTTGTGTATTCTATAGATGCTAGTGCCCACCCTTGCTGAATTTTATGGTGTGAATATCTCTGCTACCTCTTTAGATCAGTGTAAAGTTAAACAAGTATAGAAGTTTTGTACATTTGCTATAATTCGTTTCATATTTTTTTCTATCCTCTGTAAATTATGTAAATAAATCAGGACAAATCAGTGTCATGAATCTTACTCCAACTACCCCCAACCACATTCCAGTTCTCTAGAGAACTCATGCCAACAACTTTCTTGACTTTTACAGCGGTAATAAAAGTGGGTAAAAGAATTGAAAAAATATATCAGATAATGCATTTACTCACATTTATTTTATCTTTTAAATTTAAACTTAATCACAGTAGCAAAAGTCACAACTCTGAGAGGCCCAATCAAATTAACCACCTGATTGGGAGCAGAGTCAAAATAAAGCACAAATTTTACATAAGGAACATCGAAAATGGAATGTAAGGATTATTTACATGACTAGTTCCTGCATCCTTGGCAGGCTTTGTACTTTAGTAAAAGCAACACAGCAGGCAATTTTATTTTTTTTGAACTCAATTATTGTGTCTACTCACATCCAAGAGTGGAGACTGTTACAGTTTACAATGTAATGCTCAAAATTTACTCTCCTAGTCCATTGGAAACACATAAATTATAACACAATCATTTTAACATTTTCCAAGACTATTCAGTAAAGAGACTTGCTACTACCTTATTTTTGTGCTTCTTTCCAAATATCACACTAAAGTTATGAAACACTTCCAGGCTTTAAAATTACCACCAGATTGAAATGTTTCTAAACCTCCACAGACTACAGTTGTAACTTGGAAACAGACTAGTCATACTTGGCTCTTGTTTCCCGTGGTGACGCTCGCCTGTTTGCGTCAGAAGAAGAAGACAACGAGGAAGCGCTTCTTTCAGGATTATTAGTGTTTGGTTTAGGAAAGTAAAGAAGGACAAGAAGTGGCAAGCCAGCATGCAGGAAAAAGTGAGCAGAGTAAAATGTGTAAACATTTGCTGTTGGAATAGACTTCTGCACACTGCGCACTGCTACATTTAGAAGAAGTGCCAGCAGCATACCAAAAGGAATACTCAGACGTTTATTTACAAGCCTGAAACAAAACGCTATCATCAAGACCTAGTTTTACTTAGACTGATAGATCACACATTAAAATTCTTACCTCTTGGAGTACGGACAGGCAATTGCAAAGCCAAAGGCTGACCCGCAAACACGGACCAGTGCAAACACGTTTGTGGTGGAAACATGTAGATTACGGTGAGATTGGCACCACTTGAAAGCAAGCTTCACAGACCATTGAGGATCTACACCAAGTGCTCTTTGGAGCCAGTAGGCAGCACAGGATAAGGTTGCAATCGCTGATGCGGCAAACATCAAATGTGCTCTGCCTGAATTTTTCCACCAGCGGCATAAGGAGCTATTTTCAGAGGTCAAGGCCCAAGCCAATGGAATGCCTGAAATATTGATTTTGACATTTGTAAGATCTGGTCATACCCTTAATTTAAAATAAGTGACTTACCAATAGCAGCTCCCAGCACACACTGATGTGGAAAATGGGCCGCAATGTACATTCTTGACAAACCAATGAGCAACAGAATAACTGCATACACACTCCAAATGAATCTACGATAATATGGTGCATTGGGTCTTGGAAATCTGCAATAAAGCAAAAGATAAAAAATTCAGAGAGGCATGACACAGTGTGCGTATTATTACAAAGTGCTAAAAAGAATGCTATCATACCGAGAACGGCTTTCATACTTGGCAATAATCCACTTGGCCAGGACAAAACCAACAACAGCTGCATGCATACAGTGACCTGATGGTGAGCCAGCTCCTGTCTCACATGTGTGAGATGTCTGTTGTATGACTGGTGCAGTTATTCCATATGTTTCATATATATCTGTTTCTTTGACCCACCAATAGGGTCGACCTTCCATAAAAGTCCTTAAAATCAACAGAACAGTTCCATTGACTATGAGGATGAATCAATCAACTACTGAAAGAAAAATAAAACCTATGAAAGAAGCCTTACCATTTCATCAAGATGTTGAGCCATTCGCCAACAAGACAAACAACCAGAAGATCACAAGAAAGTTGTAAGTCAAGAGCTGCAGCAAGTGGGACAAGGAGGCTGAATGAATGAGCTGAATTGCCGAGCTCTGTTATCGCATGGAACAATTCATCGCAGCCGGGAAATCTGTACAAAAAAGAGCTCTGTAAAGTCTAAAAGACCATTCAAGCACAAAGTGAGAGAGAGAGAGGAACTAACAGGTTTTGAAGAGTGATGATGCAAGACACACCAACACGATTAACTTCTTCCAGAGCGTCTCCAAAGATAGCCATAGCTTGATAGAATGTTTATCCTGGATAGAAAAAGAAAATTAGAATGTACATACAAACCTAGCAGAGAGATAAATGTAATCTGAAATGACAGCAAAAGATGTCAATCCATCGAAATGCGAATGTTTCATAGAAGAGATTTCCAATCATTTACTTTACCTGCACTGAAATAGAAATGGAGTGAACTGCGTCCAACAGAAAGAAGTTCGAAGTTTCTTCTAAATGCTTGACATTTGACGTGACATATCCTAACCTACTAAATAGATCAGGCCTGACATAAAAACAGTTTGTGAGCGGCGTTCAATAATAAAGCATGCAGTGACAGAACGGACACATTTAATAAAACAAAGAAACATGAGTGTTATCTCCTCATTTTCACTAAACTCCGAACATCCATCCTTTTCTGCGGTTTTCTTCTGCTGGCTTACTTCTGCTTTTGTTGTCACACTCGGCTCCTTTGAAGAAGGCTGTGGAATGTCCCGTTTGTCGCCGCTAGAGTGCGCTAGTACACTTTTGGCGCGTACTTTGTGAAACCGGACACGTTTCCTAATCTCTTCGAGATATGCTGAATCGATTCGGGTATCGCATTCTTGCCGTTTCTAGAACAAAAACGTCCACCTGGTAATCCCCTGCAAGAGCTGGAGAGGCCAGAACGCCTTACTTTCCGTTTTATCACGATTCCCGCCAATGCGAATAAACCGCTGCACCCCACCCTTCCCCTCCCGTGGCAACCCCCTCCCCTCCCCGTCTGAATCATGCGTTACGAGAAATAAGGAAGGGAGAGGGAGGGTTTGTTTTGCCTTTGTTTAGTTGAGGCCGTTTTTTGTTGAGATCAATAACGACTTTGCCATTATAAATTGCAATTTGTGAACGAATGTGCCCTTCTGTTGGAAGATTGCACACGCCGTGAGCGAGATGCCTAGTTGAGGATTATTGTGGAGAGTGTGGGACTGGGAAGCGCTCAAGGCTTGAGGCCGCGAAGCGAAGGAAAGTGATCGGAGCGTGTTGTGGTGTGGGGTTTCTCGGGATGGAGCTCCTGTGATGCAACTGGAACTGTGACTTTTGCATTGAGTTTTCGCTGCGATGGTGCAAACACGGCGAAAGGACGACACGTCCTTTTCAAACGAGCCGGATCTGAGGCGCAGCACAAGAGAAACGCGAGTGGTGCGTATAGCCTTCTAACCATCACGGTCTTGGCCGTCTTGTCTTGTCACTCTCCATTCAACAAGAGATTAGTTCCTTACTTACCTTGCGTTGGCTTAAAATAAAGTGCGCTTTCGAGACCTACAGTTTTCCAATTTTTCGTTTTGTTGCGTTTTTGCTTCCCGAAGCCAATCGACGCCCTGCTCTAGAAGTGTTAGTGGAGCAAGGACAGAGAGCTAGACTCTTTTAACACATCATATTTATCGAAAATTTTTGTTTAAGGCAGAGGTTCTCTTCATTGATTGCCCATGAAATCTACAAATAAAGGTTCCAAGTTCCTCCCACAGTCCATCCTCATGTGTGTTGCAACAGTCTGTTCAGCATAAACAAATATTTAGAAACTTTTTTTTGTCATCATCTTTTCAAAAATTTTCTTCAAATTCATTACTAAAAAATTGTAACATTTTCATTTTCCCAATGAGCTGTCTGTCAATCATCATTAGAGGCTCATTGTAGCATGGAGATTTTGAAAATTCATTCGGTTACTAGCTTTATTTTTCATGATCACTTCAGCTAGAGCCATTAGTACAAGTACCCAAATACTGTGTCCATTAACACACACTATGTGTATAAGCTTTAAATGCTAGTTCCACAATTCATCACAAATTCATCTAGTGAAAGTTTTCTTAACTGCCTTTTACCACATATTTATTGTTTGAACAGTCGATCATCTGTTCATTTGTTGCCTTGTGCATTGCAAGACATAACTTTTTTTCACGAATCCTTGTTTTCATCCTTTTAAAATTTCAGTTAAGATTCAAAGTGTCTGACAATGATGATGACGAGGATGAGCGTACATCATGGTCGGGAAAAGTCAGGAGACATCCTACAAGAGTCCGCCGTGCTACTTTGCGATACTCTAGTTGTAAGTAGAGTAGATATGTTGTTTTGAATTCAGTAAATTGTAATGGTTCATTTCTTTTCAACAATTGCATTTCAGCTCTCTCAATGCGTTCCCGAGGTCATGTGGATGGATCAGAGACTGATGATGAATCTCATTCTGATGATTCTATTTTTGATTCAAGGAGGTGATCTTCTTACCTTGTTTGTTTATTTGTTTGTGATTGATTACTTCTCAATAGTAAATATGCCAACGCTCTGTATCTCTTTGATCCTATCCAGATCACGGTCATCACGAACAGTCCGTCGGGTGTCAAGGTCTTCTAGGCGACGTTCTGGTGACCATGTTGACACTAGTACGGACCACATTGATATGGGTTTGGAAGAAGATTTGGCACACCAAGAAGATGAGGGTATGTAATGTATTTTACTCATTGTTAATTATGAACCAATCCCTTTTGTGTTTGCAGTTTTTTAAATGCAGGTGCATTTCCTTACTTTTTGAGTTTAGTGCTGTGCATGTGATACATAAAGTTTCATTCTTCTTTTAGGGGTGCGTCGTAGCACTAGGCAGCGCAATCATCCTAGCTGGCTGATTGGTACTCAAACATTGAGAGGCTATCCAAGTTATGATCAAAATCCGAAAGAGCCATCATCAGTAGAAAAGGCTAGTAATAGCCGAGGAAATCGTAGTAGAGACGGTGATCACTCCTCCCAAGAGGTATACACATAAACAGAAGACTATAATTTAATTTATTGATTTTGACACAAGAAAACCATCACTCTAATGTCATTTCCATCAGTCCCCTCAGGTTGCAGGGCCAAGCCTTCGTAGTCAAAGAAGTGTGAAGTTGGAAACTAAGGAAGATACTGAAAGTGAGGAGGAACCCGAAAAAAGTGAAGAGAAGAAGGATGCTGAAGAGATGGAAGTTGAACCGGGTCCAAAGGAAAATGGCGATGATGCATCATCTGAAGAAGAAAACGAAGAAGTGCCTGGGTCAAAGAAAAATTCACGGAGGACAAAAAAACGAGGTGACAAGGTTTCACCTCAAAATGAGGTAAGGTTCCTTTGTGTTGACTGCCCAGGATTTCAATTTACGCATATACATTCTCTATCATCCCACTTAAAATTTGGTCTTTGCAGAATTTCCCAGACATGTATTCTCGTGTGAAGAGAGTACGCCGTCAAACCAAAAGGTTCTCATATCCTATTAGCCATTCAAGGGGATTTTCAAGAGGTAATTTTGCTCATTTGCTCATTCAATTTCTATTTTTTATTTTAAGTCAACTAAACACTTGTTTATGTCAATGTCAGATGGAGAAATGATGTCTCAAACTCAAAGCTCATCTGGAAGTGATGATTCTGACTCTGACCAGCCTTCACGTCGAAGTTCTTTGAGGCAAGACACAAGGAGAACTTATCAGCTTAGGGTGAATAAGCCAACAGTCGACCGTTTCCAAGCAGGTCAGTTTTTATATTTCACATCATAGAATTTCAATGTCCCTCATTGTAGAAGCTAATGTGGTTTTTCTCTCTAACAGAACCTGTCAGACGTCCTCCTCGTTCATTTCAAAAAGCACTGTGTAATTCTGTCTTGCGTCATCTTGGACGTAGATCAACCAGTCGTTTTGCTCCCAACGTCTCGTCATCCAGCAGTGATGATGGTCAAGCTAGATTTGACCACAAGAAGACCCACTCTCGGTAAATTTATCAAACTCTATACTGTCTTTGTTCTCTTGCCCCTGTTCCCGGATGATTTAATTTTTTTCTGTTTCTTTCCTCCTTGTAGTCATCATCATCCTAAAGACGCTGCAAAAGTAGCTGGACACCATCTTACTCATTCTAAAGATGGCAAACCTGCCACTCTTGCAGATATTGATCCAATGGCATTGGATACCAGCATTAGATTCCAAGCTGTTGGAGGGTAAGCTGTTCATAAATGGTGTTGTTGTTTTTTCCACCTCTCTGTACTACAGCAATTTAATTTTTAACAATTTTTCACTAGACTGGAAGAACACATCAAATGTTTGCAAGAGATGGTTGTTTTTCCCATGCTTTATAAGGATGTATTTGATAAATTCCACATAACTCCTCCCAAAGGTGTTCTGTTTCATGGCCCACCTGGTATGGCATATTCCAATTTGTCACTTAATTACCTAATCAAGTCACATCACAATATTCTATCACTTCTTAATTTTTATAGGTACTGGTAAGACTCTTATTGCCAGAGCACTGGCCAATGAATGTAGCCAAGGAGATCGCAAGGTTTCATTTTTCATGCGGAAAGGTGCAGATTGCCTCAGCAAATGGGTTGGAGAGTCTGAGAGGCAACTCCGCCTTTTGTTTGAACAGGTGCCCCTTTTTTTCCCCCTTTACCTTACCTTTTGTTTTGGTAGCTTATTTGTTTCTCAGCTTTAAGCAAAGTATGTTTTTCTGTTTGCAGGCATATCAAATGAAACCTTCTATAATATTCTTTGATGAAATTGACGGACTTGCTCCTGTCCGATCATCTAAGCAAGATCAAATCCATGCATCTATAGTTTCAACACTTCTTGCCCTAATGGATGGTTTGGATAGCCGTGGGGATGTCATTGTTATTGGTGCAACAAACAGAGTTGATGCCATTGACCCAGCTCTTCGTCGGCCTGGTAGATTTGATCGTGAATTGTATTTCCCCCTTCCTGCTTGTAAAGTGAGTGCTTTGTCACTACAGGGTATTTCCTTGTTAATGTCATAACAGACATAAACCTAAAATAACGAAATCATAACATTTTACTCGTAGGAGAGACAAGAAATTTTAAAAATACACGTCAATAAGTGGGATAACAAACCAGATCCAAGTGTCATTAGCAAACTTGCTGAGCAATCATCAGGCTATTGTGGATCAGATCTGAGGGCATTATGTGCTGAGTCAGTAATTCAAGCATTGCGCCGTACTTATCCACAAATTTATAAATCAAATCAACGACTTCTCCTAGATGCTAATAAAGTTCAGGTAAGCTTTCCTTCCTGATGGAAATTCAATTTTGGTTTTTCATTTTTTCTTTAATGTTTTCATATTTTATCTTACATCCTTGCAGGTGGCCTGTGAAGACTTCACCCTCGCACAGAGCAGTATTGTTCCAGCTGCTCATCGTGTATCTCCTAGTCCTGCCAGCAAACTTCCTGTTTTCTTGGAGCCTCTCTTGAGTGGTAGATTGGAAAGTATCATTACTCAGATGAAGGATATTTTCCCTCACGGGCTGTCCAGAGACAAAAACAAGTTAGTAGGACTTCAATTCTGGTCAATTTCTCTCTCCCCTTCCATTAAACTTTTTAACACAAATGCACTTCTCCTTTGCAATTAATAGTTTCATTCTCTATATATTTGAAACATGAGACTCTTTTTTCTCAATTTCAGGCTTTTTGTGGTCCACCAACCAAGGCTCATGATTGTGGGTCCTGGTTCAGACTATGGTCAAACAACTCACTTAGCACCAGCATTGTTGCACCATATGGAGCATATTCCAGTGTACACTTTAGATCTTGGTTCCATGTATGAAGTCAGTGCTCGCTCTCCTGAAGAAACTGTATCGCAGGTCAGGATAAGGAATTAATATCCTTGCTTATCAAAGTTTAGTTCTGACTGATCATATCTCTGGGATTCCCAGCTTTCATTGACTGAAATGGCTGACTTGCATGCTTCCAGGTTTTCCAAGAAGCTCGCCGTAACCCACCTTCTGTTGTGTATCTGCCAAGTATTGGACAGTGGTGGGAACAAGTACCACACACAGTTCAATCAATATTTCTTCTGCACCTGCAGAAATTGGATATGAGTAGTCCTGTTTTTCTGCTGGCAACATCAGATGGTCCAGACGTAGCATTGCCTACGGAGGTATGTTTATGACTTATGTTATGACGTTATGGTCATTAATGTGTGTAACCTGAGCTATATGTCATCCATGTCATTATTGCATTGCAGCTGAAAAGTGTCTTCAGTGGATACCGAGATGAAATATTTACCGTAAAGAATCCTAGCAATAAGGAGCGTGAAAGTTTCTTTAGTCCTCTAATACTTCAAAGCACTCTTCTGCCTCCTAAACCTCCTAAGCTAACTGGTTTGTATTTTTTCATCACTAATCATTAAAGCTATTGTTATTATATTTTGGGTCCCATTGCAAATTGTAACTCTAATGCAATTACACACTTGTCCTTGTTACAGAAGAAACTTGGGAAGAGCTCCCTGTAGCACCTCCACCAGAACCTGCTAAATTAACTGATGAAGATTTAGCGAAATTGTATGCTAAGGAAGAACATACTTTACGTGAGTTACGAATTTTCCTCAGAGAAGTTTGTGCCAAGCTTGCCCGTAACCGATTGTAAGTATTTGACTAATAAAGCTAGCACTTGCATCTTCTGTGGAAGTAATTTTACACCTTTATCTTTGTCAAGATTCTTCATGTTTACTAAGCCTGTGGATGTTGAAGAAGCCCCAGACTATTATGATATCATTGAGAAACCAATGGATCTAGAAACAATGATGACTCGCATTGATAAGCATGATTATGTATGTGCTAAGGAGTTTCTGGATGATATCGACCTTATTTGTAGGAATGCTTTGGAATATAATCCTGACAGGTATGCTATTGATTCTGAAAGTTACTCAGAAACATTCTAAATGCCTTATGCAATAATTCAATTTCTTTTTCTTTTTTATTTTAGGGATCAAGCTGACAAACTGATTCGGCATAGAGCATGCTTTCTGAAGGACACTGCTTATGCTCTTATAAAAGCAGAAATGGATTCAGATTTTGAAGATCGCTGCCGATCCATTTCATCTGATCGAAAGAAACGCAAGGATAGCCCCTCAAGATATGCTCCTGCCCCAGAATTCATACACACCACGTCTTCTGCCCACAAAAGTAATCAATTTGAGTAGCATTTGTGTAGAGGATAATTTTCAATGTAGGCAGTCTTGTTTTTAACATATTATTTTTGTAGATCAAGGCACCAATGGAAACAAAGACGGACCAGCACGTCTTGTCAATGGTGATGTGTCGAGCCACTCGTCAGTAGCATCCAACAATGGTGCTGTCCCAAATGGCCCTCTGTCAAGTCGCAAGCGACGTCCTAGTAGTTGGTCCAGAGGTTTTATCAGCAAGCCTAAGAAGAAGAAACTCTCAGAAGATCATCCTCAGGAAAAGCAAGACACTGTAAGATATACCCGTCTCTAATTCAATTTTGTTATATCTTATCTTTACTTTTATTATCTCATCGTAAAATAATTCTTTTGTGCTTTTAGGCAGTTGAATCGGTAACTCAACGTGCAGGAAGTGCACCCCCTTCCTCACCACCTCCCTCTCCTACTGGTGGGGACCGAAGCCACACCCCGACTGATTTATCATCAAGACACAGTAGTGATGTCAAAGAAACAGCTGAAAAGACAGAAGTTGATAATGCTAAGTTCGCCAGCATGAATGGCAGCTGTGAAACACATTCTGATGATGATATGGACCAGACTAACCTACCTGACTCCAAGGGCCCTGATAACAAACGTTGCAGAGACAGCAAGTCTCCAATTAGACCTGACAGAGAAAGTCCCAAAACGAGACGTACGTCATCAGAATGCAGCAAGCCAACAGCCAGTAAGTAATCATGTATTAAGTCAGGTGTAAGCTGTTCAAAGTACTCTGTAACATGTTTATTTCCTTCAGGAAATTCCACATCCCCAACTGAGATGAAAAAAGAAGTGACCATTGATACATCAGACTTGGAGAAATTACTGACTTCAATAGTTATTGCAACAAAAGACTGCCATGTTAAATCATTAACTGAACTTTATATTCGACTGGAGAAGAAGATCTCAAGTTTCAGTGATAAGTGGGATCGTAGCTCATTGCCTCAGGTAATCATCTTTTCTTATTTCATGATTTGTGAACCATCGAGATTTGTATTATTTCAGAAACAAAAGTTATAATTGTTTGTTCTGTTGTTTTAGGTTCTTCGAGGAGAAATTGAACGCTTCAAAGTGTTCATGAAACCATCGTAGTAATCAGAGCGACATCGCCCTGTGCACTGCCAAATCACTGCCACTCTTATTGGAATTTGTGTAATTTTCCATGTGAGTTTGTAGAAGTTTTATTAATTAATTGAAAGTAAGTTACAATCCAATAAGCAATTGCAAGAAGTATTTGTTACTGTTGATAGTCTCTCCAAATTACGTTTGTAAGATGCTGATATGCATTAATGTCTAGTTTTTTATACAAGGTGAGCAGAAAGTCCTAGACACATTTTGGGCAAGAACGCTTTTAGGAGTAGCCTGGTTGGCCCTTGAGCTTAGTCAGGGTGAAATGGCAAGATATTTTCCATGCCGACAGTAAGACTGCAATAGTACGTGGGACTTTTTGCTCACCTGGTGTTATTTTAATGTTTAATTATTTGACTTATACTTAGATGAATTGAAAAATCAGTTTGTGTGCTTCAAATAATGTTAGTGCCTGTAAAACTGTCCTGTATCCTGAGTTCAAACTAGTTGCATTTTACGTTAAATCAAAATACCAATTCAAAATGATTGGTTGGCCAAATAAAGATAAGCCTGGCAAAATGTTACTTTACAGGTTCCAATTTTTAAATCCAATAACTCTCTTATTAATAGTCTTTTATTTTAGGGATTAATTGTACATACCTAAATGCATGTTATGAAGGTTGCAATTTATCCTGTTCTTTTTTAATCAAAGAAGTAAAACTATGATACCAAATGTGTTGTACATAAATGTCAACAGACTTCAAAGATGAAGGGAATTTCAATTTTGTCCTTCTGTATCTTCATATACCTCAATATTATGTTGACTATATATAACTATTTCAATAATAATTGTCCCATAGTTGTGCAGGGTATTAAGTATGGCTACCTTGTTCAAGTGGTCATTTTTACCGACACTGCCAGTGTATTTGTGGTAATGTTTCCTTCATGTTGCCTACTTCTTGTAATCTACTGTTAGGTTGTAAACTTTCCTTTACAAGTGAACTGATGATACTTAATTATCTTTATTGATTCTGTATTCAGAAAGCAGTTTATTTCCATTATGAAAGAATTACTTGCACTGATTAGCAATGTGTATTTGGCAAAATCATTGTGGGGCATTGTTTGTCAGTTTTAGCTTGAAGAAAATATGTGGTTCTGCACTACTAAGACTAAAAATTCTGTCAATTTGATTTGTACAGGCTCTCCCAGGCAGGTCTGCTACCTACCTTTATCCCATGACTTTTCTCATCAGTTTCTTTAATTTTTAAATCTCAAAATTTTGTCTTGAAGTCCATTTTTAAATCTGTGATATTAGTGGAATATGGTTCTCTCTAAGGTTATCCCCTGGGCAACAGTGGATTGATGAGGATTGTTCCAATTGAAGTCTGATAAAAATGCCACTGGTGTTGTTTTCGAATATTTTTGTTTTGATGTGTGGATTTTTTTCATCCGAAAATTTGCCTTTCAGCCTATACGTATTAGTCATATTAAAATTAAAGCCCTTTAAGGCTAATTAATTGAATAATCAAAGGAAAAATGTGTGTGCTGGCGTTATTAACCGACTTACATTTTAAAACAGTGTGTTGCTCAACTGGCTTCCATTTCTTCCTGCCGTTTTTTAGTCATCTCTTTGAAAGTACACTTGTAATTAGCATATTTTTTCCTAGTCGGTATTTTGTGTCATTTATATCCTATTCATGAGCTCAAAAAGAGACTGCTAAGTAAAAAACACAATTGTGCTGTTTCTCTGTTTGTATCAGTGCATTAATAGTAATTCTCCTTATTTAGGCATCTCAGTACTTGGTTTTCAGTATTTTGTTAAATAGGTTGCCAAGCTTCCATATAGTTCAGTCTTTGATAGGTTTTTATTTCTTATTATTGTGTAAGACTAATTTTTTCTCCACATTCTTGGTACTTCCTTAGTTTAAGAACCTCAGACTTGCAGGAATGCACAAAAGGATGTGTTTAACGACTGTAATAAGGTTTGAAATAAAAGTTAACAAGCTGCAATGGCCATACATTTATTTTACACGAGCTCCCCTCGTGGAGTCCACTAGGAAGGCTGGAGATGCCCGACGAAGACCTCGCCCTCGCCTCAGTCTTGCGTTACTGCGTTACGGATACGGGACGTCCGGACCGTCCGGACCCGGACCAACCCGGACGAGCGGCGTGGTCGCGATGGCAGTGTGGTGTGGCGCGGCTAATCTCGTGTAGTTCCCGGGTCGTCAGAGGTCACTGCCCCAATAAGGCAAACCATGAAGCAACGCTGGGCTCGCTCTACGCTCGAAGAGAGAGCGAAAATGTTCCCTTCTCTACACACTGTAGTAGATGTTGATCCGTAAAATTGAGCCACCTCAAATATTCCTTCGACTTTTAAGGCGTGGAAATGCTTAGTGAGAGTTTCCCGTCTAGTTTCAGTCAGTTTGAGACACTGAACGGTAGCAGTCACTCGTAGCACTGCACTATTTTGGTGGCTGCGACGCGTGGCGAAGCGCAGTCTGCTCCGGCAGTGGCTGTCTGCGTGTTCCGGGCGTGGCGGTGGTGGCGGGGCTAGTGGCCGCTCGGGGAGACCTGGCCGAGGATGGCCCAGGACTTGGGGTCGAGCGTGGAGTCCAGGACGGAGTCCAGCACGCGGAACAGCAGCCAGCCGCACAACGCGTAGAACAGCGCGATGCACGTGTGGTGCACGTAGTACAGGCTGCAACAGCGGAGAGAGAGAGCGTGAGCGCCGAGCGTGGGTCCGGCGAGCCGGCGGCGCGCCCAGAAGTGCCAGAAGGCAGGCAACCCAGACGACAAGACCGATAGGAGGTACTTACATTCTGAGGACCCTGCGCGCGCGCGGCAGAGTGCTGAGAGGCTCCTTGCAGCAGTACTGCCGCGACCCAAGGATGATGATCTTGAGGTACTCCTGGGGGTCCACGGGCACGGTGTTGTTGATGTAGAACACCTCCTGGTCCTTCCTATCGAGGCTCTCCCACAGCGCCCACGTCCGGTCGTTGCGGAAGTCCCAGTCGCGCATCGTGAAGTACTGCAGCACGCTCATGCCGGCCGCGATCTTGCGCTGCACGCGCACCATGCTGCAGCACGCACGGAACAGCGAGAGGCAGGTTAGGTTAGGCTAAGTTCTACGGGCGGGGCCGTCGCCCCGGGTCGCCCCACAGGCCACGGCACTTACAACGTCTTCTGCATGGCGAGGGTGAGCAGCAAGTCGATGGCGTAGGCGGGGAGGGTCTGGAAGAAGAAGACGATGAGGGTGTGCGCGAGCCAGTTGGTGCGGCTCGCGCCGTCCGGGTACCACAGCACGGTGTCGTAGGGGTACTCGTGGATCTTCTCCCTGCCGAGGTCGATGATCTCCCCCCACGTGATGCGCTGCTTCTCGTTGGACGACACGTTGTACACCGGCGTCCGCTTCGCCTCGTCCTGCCTGCCAACAGCGACCGACGGGAATTGTGCCAGAGTCGCGACGGTGCGGGCCGCGCGCCTAACGGGCGCCTAACGGGCGCCGGGTAGGCAACCCATTGCGCTCGGCACGCCGCGGTGTTGCGGGCTTGCCTATCATCGCCCGTGAGGCGCGCGGGTAGGCAAAACTCACGACCCGGAGCGGCCCAGCCAGCACCGCGTTGCGGCGTTGCACTCACGAGAGCCGGGTGCGCTTGTAGGCGATGAGGATGAGCGCGTTGATGCACACGTCGACGGGGACGACCTCGGCGTGGTGCTGGGCGTCGCACATCATGGAACGCAGCACGCCCTTGCCGGAGGCGATGACGATGCCCGTGGGGCCGTTGAGGCTGTCCACCCAGCCGGGGACGGGCTCGCGCAGGGCGGGTGTCACTGCGACACAACGATTCGTAGAGGACGGGGATTGAGGGAAGGAATGGCGGGGGTTTTCTGAGCTTACCGATGGAAGGCCGCGCGATGGACAAGGGCATCTTGGTGTGGTACTCGTCGACCAGGCCCTCCGACAGCTGCTTGGTGAACGTGTATGTGTTGGGGTGCTTGCCCATGAGCCTGCAACAGACCCGTTTAGACCCATTGCCAGCAGTTGCCGCGGGCGGTGGAGAGCAGGGGTACCCACTGTTTGGTCAGAGTCTGGAGGGTGTCAGGGTCCGACTCCCTGCACAGCCGCATGACCTGGTGTGGGTCGACCTTCGGCCGGTACACGCGCTCCTCCAGCACCTCCTGCTCGCAGTTGCAGAAGGCCGTCGACACGTACACGAAGGACTGCAACAGGGAGGGTGGTCGTTACACGATCGTTACAGGGCCGGCCTCCCCGGGCCACCCCGGGCCATCCCGTCCACTGCGGGCTCTGCAGTGCAGGCACCAGGTACCTCGAGCTTGGCGATCTGGCAGCAGAAGTCCAGGACGCTCTTCGTGCCCGCGGTGTTGTCCTCCACGGCCTGCTTGAGGGGCAGCTTGAAGTTGAGCGAGGCGGCCATGTGGAAGACGATGGACACGTTGTCCAGCACGGTGCGCTGGTCGGCCTCGCTCAGCCCCAGCTTCTCCTGCCCCACGTCACCTTCCAGCGGCCTCAGCTGCTCGAAGGCGGCCGGCCGCTCCTTCAGCAGGCGCTCGAACACCTGAGGAACAAGAGCAGGTTGAGGCCGGCCGTCGCCGTGTCCACGTCTGGGGCATGGCCGGGCATGGCGGCAAGGATGGGCACCCTCCCGGCGAGCTACTCACAGGCAGGCGGGACATGGCCTCGACGCGCGCGCGGGTGGAGGTGCCGTGCTTGGGCCGCACCAGGATGTAGACGGAGCGGACGTCCGGGCAGCACCGCAGCAGTTTCTCCACCAGCACCTTGCCCATGAAGCCCGTCGCGCCCGTCACCAGGACGTCGCGGCCCGCGTAGAAGCCAGCTACGTCGGGCAGCAAGACGGGGTCGGCCTGCACGTCGGCCTTCATGTCGGCCACCACGGCGGGCGACGACCGCGAGGGCGCCATGGCGGGCTGTGGGCAGAGGACACATTACTGTAGCGTTCGGCGTACTGCGTACGGCGAACTCGGTCGGATTTACAAGTTGAACGAGGCATGGGCGGACTACTGCCTTTTTTTCGCGGTTTGTCCGAGGCTTGGCGCGCGGCGATGCGGCGACACGGCGACATGCAACGTCCTGGCCCGGCGCCGGGTGAGGTGCGCCGCGGTGCACTATTGCCGCCACTTATCTCCTTGGAGACGCACTTGGTGGCGTGGCGGCGCGCGGACGTCCTGGCCGTCCTGGCCACGTCCTGTGCGGCAAGGACGACACGAGGAAGCGACAGGGGATAAGCATCACCTTCGGCGGCCGGCTTCGACACGCGTACGCACGCACGCAGCAGCGTGCTTTGGCCATCGTCAATGACGGGGACGGCGACCGACGAGGACTTCCACGACGCCGTGGTTTGGCGGTCGCGGAATCCGGCGAACAGCCGTCCGCGACGACACTCCGCGCTGCGGTTGGCTGCGGAAGCGAACCGGCGAACCGCCATCGGAATCGCCCCTGCCCCCTCTTCCCTCACCGCGACATCGCGACATCGTGACATCGTGACTGATTGACTCTCTCCTTCGCCGTGCCCGCGGTGACTCGGTGACTCACGCGCCAGAGCCGCGCCGCCAACCTCACCGTCAATTCCAATTCATTAACAGTGCTGCATCTGCACCGACACGGCCGCCGCGCTCACTTGGCACACCGTGGGGCCTTAGCCGCGAATAGGGGCATAGCGGCCGACGGGGCGGGGCTAGAGACCCTCCCGTCAGAGATGCGCAAAGGGGGGCCCTCTCAGCCAATCACAGACGACTGGTAGTCCCATGCGGAGCGAGAAGCCCGAATTCGCCCCGCGCGAGGCTACGCAGGTAGCATCTGGTGCGGCACAGCAGGTATGGGGTCGTGCACATACCACGTGACCCATTTAGGGGGAGGGAGGGGTCGCGAAAAAGTCACGGCAAGTCACAAGGGGGGACGGGGGGTTGCCAAAAAGTCACGTGACATGAATTTCTCGGAACTTAACGGACTGCTCTGCACATTGTTTTTAAAATTAAAAATGATGACACTTCAATAAAAATTACAATTCTTACAGCACAAGCACACTCTTGCCGAGGAATGTGTTATTCACATTAAAAACCACTCAGTTCGTAGCTTGCAAAGAATTTTGCTTTCGTAATGTGGCGAAAAAAAACTTCAAATAAGAGTTCACAATGCAAACACGTTCTTTTTACTAACAGGAGGTTTGCAAACAGCGAACAAATGATTGGTCATCCCGAAAACAATCTTTCTATAACGAACAAGTTATCGCAAGGTTTTCAGTGAGCAAGCAAACAACAGTAATTCATTATCACTGACAACGTAACGCACGTTTTCGTACGCGGGCGCGCACAAATACCTTAAAGTCAGTTAATGTGAACCTTTCAAGTCCTGTCCAGCTGTGGTAAAGCTTTCTTGTTCACACTCGAATCTTACGCAATCCAAGAAACAATGAAAAGACGACAATATTGGCGAAGCAGTCTTACTAAATCGCAATAACCAAATTCCAAAAATTACCACGTGACTTTTGGGGGAGGGGGGAGGGGTCGGCGAAGAGTCACAGAGGGTCACAAGGGGGGAGGGAGGGGTCTAAAAGTGGCCTTTTTTGGGTCACGTGGTATGTGCATGATCCCTATACGGCGGTCGCCCGCTAGCCTGACTCAGGGTGCCTTTGACTCCACGGGACTACCAAGCGCTGGCTTGCGCATCTCTGACGGGAGGGTCTCTAGGCGGGGCGGTGAGTTTGAAGCGCTGAGCGTCAAGCGCGGGGGGCAGGGTGGGCAGGGCGGGCAGGCAGGAAACGCGTTTCGCACACGCACTAAGCGCAGCGCCGACGAAGCGCTAGCACCGCCTTATGCAAACCTCGGCGGCTTATGTACTATTTTGGGTACCGAGCTGTCCGTGCGTGGGAGCAGGTGCGTGTGCGTGTGTTTGTGTGTGCGCGCGTGTGGGTGAGCGAGCGGAGTCGCAGTTATTAGGCCCGACCTGACGGGTCACTGCACTGCACCACTGCACTGCCAAGGAAAATGTCTCAGGTCATTCGCCTGTCGACATGATGATAATCGACAGATAGCGCGCACGGGTCGCGGCTGGGAATGCGTGCCTTAACACATTCACGACCGGACTCGTTTTGGGCAAACGTCCCCTCAGGACCGGAGTCTGCTTTGACCAAACCATGCATCTCCCAGACCTCGCGACTAGATATAAGCACGAATCATGCAATAACAAAACCAATCAGCCGAAAAAAAAATTCCGGGAACCCCGCGCCCGGACGGTCGCGAGGGCCATGCCCATTCACGGGTACAGGGTTCCCGTGTGGACGCCAACGACATTAGACGCGGGAACGCAGTACGGAAACACGGTTCCCGATCAAAATGAGTACCAAAATCATTTTATTTTTCAAAAATAAGGAAGAAAACGCAAGAAGTCTCAGTTTGAAGCTTGTATGGCCGTTTTTGAGTCCGGGAACCGTGTACCCGGACGGTCGTCAGAGACATGTCCAGTCCGGGAACACCGTTCTCGTACGTAAAAGCGGCCCAGAAAGCTAAATGAGGGTATTTTTGGAATCAGCGGATCGACCCCAGGCCATTCGCACACTTTTCGACCTGTTTTGAGCTGTTACAACCAACCCGATTTCCACACGGCCTTCTTGACGTGCAGCAGAATCGGGCCGTGTCAAAATCGAGTTGGTTGTAACAGCTCAAACCAAGTCGAAAAGTGTGCGAATGGCCTGGGCTCGATCCGCTGATTCCGAAAATTCCCTCATTTAGCTTGCTGGGCCGCTTTGACGTACGGGAACGGTGTTCCCGGACTGGACATGTCTCTGACGACCGTCCGGGAATCATGTACCCGTACCAAATTCATCGTACGAGGTCCGTTCAAAAAGTAACTTGCGTCTTTCGTTGAGGCGGTTCCAAAAAAATATGTCTCATGATCGTGACAATTCTGTGAGGCGAAATCGGAAAATCGGATTTGTCCGGGAACGGTGTTCCCGGATGGTCGTCTGGACTTTTTCCCGTACGGGAACGCGTGTTCCCGGACGGTCGTGAATGTGTTAAGCGACTCTGGAGCTCAAAACGCGTCTAGAGTTTTGTCCGCCTCCACTGGTCTTCTGGCACACTCTGTGCCCCGCACGGCGCACGCGGCACACCCTGCCCTCCTCACGTTCCCTTTTCGTTCCCGCGCGTTAACGCATCCCCACAGTGTCGTGTTTGCGCAGCAGCCCCGGAGCACAGCCTTGCGACTTGGCTGGGCTGACTTTGCGGGACGCGGCGCGACGCGCGCGCACTTTTACGGCTTTCACTTGACATATTGCAAGCGCGCGGGTGTGCTGTGTGCTGTGCCTGGGTGGGTCAGGGCGCCGCGCGGAGTGCGCGGTGCGGTACAGACAGCATCGTTACGTTACGCAAAGCAGAGTGACAGGGGCGCCAAAACGGCAGCGCCATAACGTGGCCGTGTTCTCAGTCGCAAAAAAAGTGAAATGTGGCTGCAATTGACGCAATCCGAACCGCAGATAGTCTCTCGATCGGGGAGCCCCGCACCAGCCAGTGATAGTGGTACGGTACGTACTAAGAGAGAGCGCAAACAAACTCTCTTTGCAAAGGCAAATTTGCTCGGTTTGAAGAAAATGAGTTGTGGACACAGGTTAGGGGCCTATAACAGACACCCTTTATCAGGCTTTTCTTGGGCGGGGGGGGGGCTTAGTTGAGCGGGATCTTGTTGTTTTTGTGCGTTTTTATTTGACGCCACAAGTTGCTTGTTGTCTTCACTGGCGTGCCCAGGGCGTGCCACTGCCACTCGACTTGGGCGCTTTGTTCTGTCACTCTGTCTCGCCCTTCAGTGACACACTCGCCGCAATCAGACTCTGATATCGAGGCGAGGCGGCAGTGCGAGGCAGCCATGGCGGCAGCGATCCGCGTCGGGTGCATGCACTCCGGACGACGCGCGCGACGCGCCAAAACGAGGCGGCAGGCCGGCAAGACAGTCGCACAGTGGGCCAGAAGCCGGTGGAGGCGGCCTAAACTCTAGACGCGTTTTGAGCTCCAGAGTCGCTAAATGGGACTCGAACCGAACGTGTGACCCCACCAATGAATTGCTCTCCGAACGAGGAATCCATTGGTGGGGTCACACGTTCGATTCGAGTACTGTTAAGCGCCTCTGGAGCTCAAAACGCGTCTAGAGTTTTGGCCGCCTCCACCGGCTTCTGGCCCACTGTGAGTCGGCCGCAAAATCAGAATCGGACACCAGCCGCACGCGGAAGCTTGCTTCATGCCACTTGATGCAGCCTCGGGACGCGTCGGGAGGATGGCCTCCAGCTGGACTAGTTTTTCTTTTAATATGCGAGGAAGTCTTAGAGCGAGCAGCGAGCACAGCGGCGGCGTTATGGAAAACCATAAGCGGGCCGCGAAAGAACGGCGCGGCGTGAGAGAACGCAGAGACTGCAGAGACACTCAGCACCGCCAGCCTTGGCGGCCTTGGCGCACAAGCACCACTGCACCACTTGACACTTTTCCTTCTTATTGGTGATTGCAGCAAATCAAGGTCGTCGGAAAATGGAGCCTCCCCTTTTCTCGAACGACGTTGCAAGACGGCTAGCGATGCTTGTTTACCGCTCTGATTAGCGAGTCCCCGTTTGGCGGTCTGGCGTTGGCCAGGCCAGGCAGGCCGTTGTCCTCGTGGCCGTGCTGGCCGTGCTGGCCGTGGCACAGGTGGGCGGTGGCAGTGTGGTGGCAGCGCGGCAAGCTTCAAGCTGCGCCGGGCGCCAACAGCCAAGCCAGCTAGCCAGCCACTTGTTGCACGCGAGCGCCGCGCGCCGGCGATGCACAGTGGGTCAGAAGACCGGAGGCGGCGGCCAAAACTCTCGACGCGTTTTGGGCTCCAGAGTCGCTAAATGGGACTCGAACCGAGCGTGTGACCCCCACCAATAGATTGCTCTCCGAACGAGGAATCCATTGGTGGGGTCACACGTTTGGTTCGAGGCCTGTTTAGTGACTCTAGAGCTCAAAACGCGTCTAGAGTTTTGGCCGCCTCCACCGGTCTTCTGGCCCACTGTGCGATGCAGGCCGGCCAGCCTCAGAGTCCATTCCATACAGTTTCCCGCCGAAAGGAGGCGTCACTGGACTTAGCTTAGCCGCGGCGATGCGGCGCAGGCCAGACCCAAGGCGCGCACGCAGGGATAAGGTGGGACAGGTCACGGACTGGTCTGTACCCAGTACTCGGGTCTGTACTAAGTTAGTTACTAAGTGAAGCCGGCAAGCTGTTGTTTCAGCCCGGGGGGCGGGGAGACAATTACATTAACCCCAGGGCTCGTCATTTCGGCCCCAAAGCAGCAAACGGCGCAGCCGACTCGCCGTGACTCGCCAGCCGAGCGTCCCAAAAGGTGCATGCACTGCAACTTGGATCTGGGACGGGGCGCGGCGGCACCCCCGTGACAACCGTCACACCGTCAGCAGCGCTTTACCTGAAACCTGGTGTTCAGTGGTGTTCGGCTGGACGTCCACTGGCGGGCGTCGGGTACTTCACCGACTCGCACTGGACACACGCGGACTATCACGCCACCCGCCGGACACGCAACGCGCGGCACTACACTGCTAGGCACTGCACTGCCAGGCACTGCGAGGCACTGCTAGGCACCAGGACGACGTCGAGCACGGCGTGGCGCGTTGCCGTTCGCGGATCAGGGGGACCAGGGCCACCAGGGCGCTGCAGCACTCGCGATGCTCGCGATAGACTGGCGGTTTGGCGCGAACCCTCGCGGCGCGCGGCGCGCCGGCGTGGCGGGGCGTCGTCGCGTGGCGGGAGGGCCGCGGGCGCGGCGGGCGCGACCATCCGCGGATGCCACGAGGAGGACGACGACGTGCTGCCCGTCTCGAGGCGTGCCCCCCCCCCCAACTATTTTCATTATTCGTCGTGTGGCTTTTGCGGTCGCGAGGCTGTGTGTAAGTTTGCCTCCCTTCCCTCCCCTCCCCTCGCAGCGTGCGCCGGTGCATCTAGCCCAGCCCAACGCGCTGCGAACTGCAAAACACGAGTTTCGAGGGAATCTACCCGCTGCCCCGCGGGCGCGACTCTGAAGACTCTGAAAGAGCCGAAACCCGAGTCGGCCGGCCGGCCGTAGGCCGTATCAGCCCCGAGGATCTGAACAGAGCCAAGCCGGCCTAGAGCAGCAGCCCGGTGGCGGTGGCGTCGGTGTGAGAAACTGCAGCGGTATACCGCGCACAGTGGGCCAGAAGACCGGTGGAGGCGGCCAAAACCCTAGACGCGTTTTGAGCTCCAGAGTCGCTAAATAGGACTCGAACCGAACGTGTGACCCCACCAATGGATTCCTCGTTCGGAGAGCTATCCATTGGTGGGGTCAGGAGTTCGGTTCGAGTCCCATTTAGCGACTCTGGAGCTCAAAACGCGTCTAGAGTTTTGGCCGCCTACACCGGTCTTCTGGCCCACTGTACCGCGCCGCCCCGCCGACCTGACGACGCGCTAGGCCGTCTCGGCCGTCTCGTCCGTCTCGACCGTCTCGCGGCGGCTGCCACTCTTTGCCGCCACCCACGCCGTAACGCCTGGCCTGTTGACACCTGACACTTTTCTCCACGCAAAACTTGTATTTGTCGCACCACCTCGTTTCGTCGGGGACGGCGGGGACGGCCGTTTTGACGGGTTCCTCCGAACACTACAGCGCCTTGGCCGAAACAGGTTTCCACCACATGCGCACTGTTCTTGGAGACGGTGACTTCAGTCTCCGACCTGGTGTAGTGTTTGATTCGGCAAAGGCGTATGCAGTCGTGTTTCACTAGACAGCCACACCGTCGGGCGGCGACTCCTCGGCACCTTGCAGTGCAGGCAGGGTGATGCCACTCACGGTGGCGGCTGGCTACACTACACACCCAAAAGGCCACTGTGTTTCTCGGATTCCCGGCAGATGTCGCTTTCCTCGGGCTGCGGGTTGGGAGGTCATTTTCCTTTGTGAGTTCTGAGCGCGCCGTTATGAGGCTCTCTTTTTCCCACCGCGGTCCCGGGGCGGCGAGAAGGCGAGGAGGCGAGGAGGCGCGGTGCAGCTGGAACTGGAGTCCTCATCTGCGGCTAGGATGGGTAGCGGTGACACCCGAGTATCTAGGAGTCTCTCTCCTAGGCGAACCTCTCCAGCCGAGTCTTCGCGAGCCCCTCTAGCCGAGCTGGGCTCGCTGCTCCATCATCAGCGTTTGCGGAAATAAGGCAGGTGCCTGGCGTGCAGAACTGCTGCAGGCTGCAGGCCGCCACGGTGGTGCACTCCACGGCCCGTGCGGTGCGGTGTGCGGGCAGCACCGTGCCCTGGATGCCCTGGATGCACGTCCCGGTGTCCGGCATGCTGTAGTGGAGTGCGAGAAGGGCTGCAAGCGGCGAAGGCACCCTGGAAGCAAACTGGAGCGGCCCTTGGCAGTGGACCAGTGTGTGGTGCACTGCTGCAAAGCACTGCACTATAACTACGAGTGCTGCGGTAACGTGCTGTGGTCCACTCTAATTATCCCTCCCCTTCCCCCTACCCTTCACGGACGGTTTTGGAGCATTTGCGGCTGTTAAATCGATATTCGGCCGGAAAGGGGCGAGCCGCTCCCAAGATCTGGGGCACATCTTCCTTGCTTGAGCGCGAAAACCGCAAGTCTCGTTCGAGGTCGTCGCAAACCGAAACCGCGACAGGCGGCGACAGGTGGTGCGTAGACCGGGGCCTTGTTGGTGTGCTGGAGGCGTTGCTGGCAGCCTTCCTCGACTTCGGCCGCCAGCAGGCTGATTCCCAACGGTGGTCTCATCGCTCTGTCCCTCTCGCTCTCCCGGATCGTCCCGCTGGGGTGGGAGAGAGACAGAGCGCCGCACAGTGGGCCAGAAGACCGGCGCAGGCGGCCAAAACGCGTTTTGAGCTGCAGAGTCGCTACACAGGCCTCGAACCGAACGTGTGACCCCACCAATGGATTCCTCGTTCGGAGAGCAATCCATTGGTGGGGTCACACGCTCGGTTCGAGTCCCCTTTAGCGACTCTGGAGCTCAAAACGCGTCTAGAGTTTTGGCCGCCTGCGCCGGTCTGCTGGCCCACTGTGCGCCGGAGCACTGTGCGGAACCACCCCGCAGGACTCCAGAAGTCAACAGGCCGGACTGTGGTTTAGGCGCCGCGACGCCGCGGAGAGTCGAGCCCAGCGATGCGCACTGCGCAGCACCGAGCCAGATTGCTGGATCGCCAGATGCCCGCGAGATGGACCGCCTAGCATAGCGGCCCGCAGCCCGGCCAGCGCACAAGATTTTATCACACAGGCGCGACCCTGACCGGGGCCAAGGTGTGCGAATCCAGATTAATACCAGATTAGTAGGAACGGCCGATTGTGTCTCCCTCCATGGGTAGAATAGAAGTAGGAAACTTTGGCGGCCCGTATGCAGGGCCATGGCAGGGCCTAACCGCGGTGCTGATACGCGGACCATAAGTCGAACCGGAACTACGCGCACCGTAACGTGTCGCCCTCGGTCCTCTGGGCAAGGCAATGACGCACTCTGACACGGCGGGGAGGCAGGCTGTGACTTTGCGACGACAGTCCGGGTCATTCCCTCCGCACTGTCTCGTCGGCACGCGGGAGAGACAGGACGCCTCGCGGCGAGCACGGCGAGGAGGATGAGGACGGGTCGGGCAGGTCGCCCCGAGGGTCGCCCGATGGAGGACATTCCGGCGCCCCACAGTGGGCCAGAAGCCGGTGGAGGCGGCCAAAACTCTAGACGCGTTTTGAGCTCCAGAGTCGCTAAATGGACTCGAACCGAACGTGTGACCCCACCAATGGATTGCTCTCCGAACGAGGAATCCATTGGTGGGGTCACACGTTCGGTTCGAGTCCCATTTAGCGACTCTGGAGCTCAAAACGCGTCTAGAGTTTTGGCCGCCTCCACCGGCTTCTGGCCCACTGTGCGCCCGAACGCCGAACCCGGTGATCGCGGGTGTGGCGTCTGCAAACAAAGCGACCCAACACCCAACATCCATCACTCTAGGCTGGGACTCCCCCGTACCGTTCTCGACGGAGACAACAGAGAACGTACTGTACAGTGGTTTGCCTGTCCAGCGGGCTTCGGTCCCCCTCGCACTCGTGGCTCGACCCGCAGGGCTGCGAGAGAGACAGGGCGACGAAGCACTGCTCAGCCTGCAGCCGGTGGGCCTGCCTGCTGCGCGTCACCAAATGCATCCCATTTAGTTCGCCATTCGGCACCCTGTAGCCCATTGTAGTAGCGTTCACGAACCGCGACTAGCAACGTGCCGTGCCGCGAACTCTGCACCCTGCATCCCATTATGGCTGCCGTTTGAAACACGCGTCGCGTCGCCGACAGACAATGCACCACGCTACGCCTGGCTACGCCACGCCGCCCGGACTTCCCTTTTGGTCTGTAAAGTTAAGGGCGCGCGCCCGAGCGGCGCCGCGCCGAAGCGCCCGAGCGCCGCCCGCGGAACGAAAACATGCCATGAACTCGAACGTGAATGCTCAAAATCAAAAAGTGGGTCAATAGTTGGATTCCCTGAACCATCCCCTTTCCAAAAATATATATTTTAGTGCACTTTGGAGATGTTTTCGTTCCGCGGGCGGCGCTCGGGCGCTTCGGCGCGGCGCCGCTCGGGCGCGCGCCCTTAACTTTACAGACCATTTCCCTTTCCCGGCGCACCGAGCCCCAGTCCCCTACATCCACGGCGTCGACATCCCCGCGAGGCGACAGTGACGGGAAAGGACGGCCGCCGACCGCCGCGGCCGCCTCTCGCGAGACAGGCATAGGGAGGGCCGCCCGGTGGGTAGGCCACCCATCCTACTCCGCCGGTTTCGCTCGCGATCGCGGATTCCCCCCTCTCCCGGTCAGCTGACTGCCCTGACGTATGCTGCGCTGCTGCGCCTGTGCCCCGTGCCCGTAAACAAACAAGAAACTTGTCCGCCGGTCGGTAGTTGTGCTTGCGGCGGAGCGACTGTCACAAACAGTGGGTGGACTTGGACTTGAGCACTTGGAACTCGCCCTTGATAGCAGCCTCATCTTCGGTACGATTCCATTCAGGGTGGAAGCCAAGCGAAAACGGCGCAGCAGCCACAGAGCCGCAAATTCTTCTGGTGCAGCGGTTCAGCCGAGAGGCCTAACCTTCCCCAATATGTCTTCCCGTGGACGCATTATTAATTTGATGCAAACAATTACTAGCGGGTCGTGAGTATTTGACTTGATTTGTTGTATTCCATTCGGCTTTTTGCAGGACTAGTTTGTTCTGGGAAAATTATTATTTCCACTGAAGATAACATTAGGAATTTTGTGTGTATATTTATGGTCACTCCCTAAAGATGAGTTTATTGGTAGATGTCGGTGTCCTGCTCACTCCAAACATTCATCACAGTTTACTGGGGGGCCAGCAGCTCTGCAATCAAAGGATTATGCTTTCGAGGTAAGTGTTTCTATTTTATCCATGATTTGTGTTCAAGCATCGCTGTCCTGTACCTAATGCAATTTTTACTTTCCGTTTCAGATGACCTGTTCCACTGTGCGATATGGACCTGGTGTCACTAGGGAAGTTGGTATGGACATGGCCAACATGAAAGCCAAGAATGTATGTGTGATGACAGATCCTAACATTGCTAAGCTGCCACCTCTGAAGGCCACAGTGGATGCTCTGACTAAAGCGGGTGTGAAATTTGAAGTTTTTGACAAAGTTCGAGTGGAACCCACTGATGGAAGGTAAGAGTGAAAAGTCTGTTTTGTTCTGATCAAAACAAAATTAATTATTGACACATGCATTGTTTTGTTGACTTTCCTTTCACAGCATGATTGAAGCTGCAAATTATGCAAGGGCTCATGACTTTGATGGTTTTATTGCTGTTGGAGGTGGTTCGGTTATTGACACCTGCAAAGTGGCAAATTTATTCTCCTGTGACCGGGAAGCTGAGTTTTTAGATTACGTAAATGCTCCAATTGGCAAAGCAAAACCTGTAACTGTCCCACTAAAGCCATTGATAGCTAGTAAGTTTCTTTTGAAAAAAATTATGCTCAGATTAGATATTTAATTATTTTGACTAAATTTTTCTCTCTTTTCAGTTCCAACAACATCGGGTACTGGGAGTGAGACAACTGGTGTAAGTATTTTTGACTATAAGAAGATGAATGTCAAGACTGGAATTTCACACCGAGCACTCCGTCCTATTCTTGGCATTGTTGATCCACTGCACACCCTTTCTTTGCCTGAAAAAGTTTGCGTTTACAGCGGGTGAGTCAATTAATTTTCTATTTTTAGCCTAATGGCAGAGTGGGGATATATGATAAAAGTGTTTTTTTTCTTCTTGTATTTGTCTAGGTTTGATGTCTTATGTCACGCTTTAGAATCATACACTGCCATTCCCTACACAGAACGTAGCCCCAGGCCAGAAAATCCGAATCTCCGACCAGCCTATAATGGGCAAAATCCTATTTCAGATGTTTGGGCAAAATTTGCTTTCGACATTATGCGCAAGTACTTTGAAAGGTAAGTTAGAAGTCTGAAGTGGCCTTCACTTTCCTTTTCTCGTTTTCATTTTTGAATCTGGTTGGCATTTCAGAGCTGTGTACCAGCCCGATGACTTGGAGGCAAGATCTCAGATGCATCTTGCTTCAACTATGGCTGGTGTTGGATTTGGTAATGCTGGTGTGCATCTTTGTCATGGAATGTCATACCCCATTTCTGGAAATGTCAAGAGCTTCCAGCCAGCTGACTATGAGTGAGTTCTGCGTCTACCTTGTACTTGTTGTACTATTTCTTCAACTTTCTCTCTATTCATATGGTACCTTTTCAGTGACGATCATCCAATGATTCCCCATGGTCTCTCCGTGGTGATGAGTGCACCTGCAGTTTTTAATTTCACTGCTGCTGCCTGTCCTGAGCGTCATCTTGAGGCTGCTCAGATTCTAGGCACAGACACTACAAATGCTAAGAAAAGTGATGCAGGTTAGTTTAATATTTAGTACTTTGAAAAATCGCTCAAACAATTTTTCTAAAAAGTTTGATAATACTTACTATGTAATTGTATCAGGCCGTGTCTTGGGAGATACGATGAGACGCTATATGCAGATGATGAAAGTTGAAAATGGTTTATCGGATCTTGGCTACAATACTGATGACATCCCAAAACTTGTGAAAGGAACTCTCCCTCAGGTATAGTTAATTTGCTTGAATAGAATTTTACAGTATTTTATACCTGTTAATTGTTGTCCAATAACATTTTTTTCAGTCTCGCATAATTAAACTGGCACCACGTGAACAGTCGGAAGAAGACCTCCACAATATGTTTGAAAATTCTATGACTGTGTATTAGGTGGGACTGAAACCAAACACTGATAAGTAGAACGCTCTCTCTTATAGCAGTGTGTATTGATGGAAATTTTACTTGTACATAGATATCATATTTTAATGTGCACAAATATATTTTACCCTGAAACATTCACCAGATGATATAAAAATATAAATTCATTGTTGACGAGAAAAATTAAATCACTCAAAAAAGTTACGCTAAGATGATTTTGAAGTTCATTTCATGGAAACACTCCACACACAGGCATACTTAAAAACATTGCAGAGGAAACAAATGACTAAGAATTTACACAAAGTTGATTACTTTAATACACAGTACTTCATTCAAGGCGGGAAATTGTTTCAGAATGTTTTGATTGTGTGGCGTCAAGAGAAAATGCCAACTTGCAAATGACCATGCCTCACCATCCTGGCAAAATAAAACCTCCCAACATACAACAAAGGTTGCAACTACAAGTCATGTGAGAACTGAAGATTAAGGAACTATTATGTGACTAGTTCTGAATACAATTCACTACAATATGTCTTGCTTGGTGTTTATCACAATTCTATTCGATGAGTGCAGTCTTCCAATATCAGTGCAACACACAAATGTTCTGACTAGGTTCATAAGGGGGAAAAATTACACAATACCATAAAGATGATTGAACAGCTTATAGAAAATACATAGTTCAATGACTTAAAAACTCATTCAAAAATATATTGTGAACTTCAAGGGAGTGTTCACCGCATGATGTCAGAAATACCCATCCTGTCTCTTTTTTTCCACCATTTTAATAAATAACATCTTTTCTAAAACTGGGAAAGGTTGTAATATTGTCTTCTAATGCACTGTACTCAAATATTGCATCACTGTCACTAACAAGCTTGAAATATGATTCTTTCATAGAGGATTGTCCAGGGTATGTATAAAGAGCAGCATTAAAATCAAACTGGAGGCCTAAGACAATATTTAAAGCTGATGTATCATACCCATGACATCCTGAATATCTGTACTGTGGCTTCTTGTTGAAATGACAGCCGCTTGACTGCGCACCTAGGACAAAAAACATTATTTACACATAAAAGTCAGTTATAATATCCAATATCAATCAATACATGAATATAAGAATACACCAACCAATAGGAAAAATGCAATCTTCAGTCAGTGCACATTGTACCCAAGGAAGCATGACATTGTTGTGTATATCAGCTGTGTTGTAGATTATAAGTTTAGTGGCCTCCACCTGAAAAATACAGTTTCAATTCAGAGAGGGTCAAAAGAGAGGCATTTGGAAATACAAGTGCATAACCAAAAGAGGAAACAGAAATGTAAAAACTTACCATAGGAAGGAAAAGAAAATTTTCTGACGTTGTTTCAAAATATCCATACATATTTGGATGAGTGAGAGAAGACGTTGCTTGTCTTGTTGCCCAAGCAATGATCCCATTTCCTTTCTGTTTACTAGATCCAACAGCAGACTTTAACAATGAATCTATATGCCTTGTCAGTCTCAAGTTGCACTCAAGGAAAATCACACCACCAGCCTTGTTAAGAGCATCCTGAAAAAAGGATAAAAAAAATTATTATTATTATCATTGGACATTTGTTAAAAGGGTTAATTGCATTTATCTTTAAACTTAGTGGATAGACAAACCTGAATAATGAGAGGCCTAAATGCATGGGATACATCTTCAGAAACGTGTGATGGAAACGATCCTAAGTCAAATGGCATAATTATGCAACGTATACTATCACAGTAGTTGTGGATCTGTAAAGTTTAGAGGTAGTTGCAAGTAAAAAGCAGCACTTAGCAAATATTTTCTTTAACTCCGTCCAGGGTTTGACACTCACAACTTGAAGTGCATCTTCATCCAAGCCTAGGTTATAAATTAAAACTGTTGTGTTAGGCAAATACTGTTGCATGTTACGCAAAAATCCAACCGCTTGCTTCTCATGTCCACTTCTCCTGACATAAGTAACAACAACAGGAACGGATGTGTTTGTCCACAAGGAGTGGGGGTACAGATGAGGTTGTTGCACAAACCCTAACGGAATCAGATAGTTTTCATTGGGCAGCAGTTTTTTCTCCTCAGGCTGATTAAGATTTTCCTGTAAATGAAAATGAACTAAAGGTTACTAAGACTAAAGAAAGAGGTACAAATAAGTCAAGGTAACGAAAGGGATGTACTGACCTTCAAGAGTTTCAGTTTGTTAAGTCCTTTATGAGTTTCTGAAACAATACTTTGAATCGATGCCTGTTGATTTCCCCCAAATATTACAAAAATCGAGCTTGTCACAGCAAGCAAAAATATGAGGAGGAATATGTTTTTGGTCTTCATTTGGTCGATTGGAACCACTCCACTTGATTGATACTTTACCCTTCATGATTGGAGAAAGGGCCAATTGACATTGCAGCTAACAGCCTGGAAAGTACAAAGTACGAGTAAATATATTACTTTTTGGCATGGACAAAACAAAATTGAAGACCCATTGTGACATTCTAGCAAGAGTCACACTAACCACTCAAATAGATTGCAATACCAAAGAAGCACAAAGACAATCTTAGCGATAACTATGACGAATTTTCTTAAACTAGAGATAGTGTTTCTGATCCGAATGAATAATTTGCTTCAGTTTCGTTTAAAGCTTTTAATCAGTGCTATGCAAAACCCGCAATACCACTTGATCTGTATCAAGCAAATTTGATAAGAGCCGATAAGGACAGTTGCATGGGGGCCAGAGAATACCATGGAACAAAATGATCATCCAAAAGCGTTGCCTTCATTACCTTTAAGCAAGCAATGCCTAAATAACTTGGTTGCGCGATTTCTAGCGACACAGGAGTACAGGAGTTGTTTACAAAATTGGGCGTATGAACAAGTGACGTTTGGTTATACGCAGTCCTTCTGCTTTTTCCTGCGAATAGTGAGATCAATCAAAACATTGCCGCTGGAAGCCGGCTACGAAAGATGAAATGTCAATGTTTTCACGTGATAATTTTATGTCTTTGAGTTCAGTTTATGCTTCAGAGTAGTTACCGAAGGCTCTGCATTCACTGTCAATTCATTAATCTATCAAAAAAGTCATGGCAAGTGCGTCTCGGTCAAGTTCTAGGCGTGTAGCAGACGATTGGCACTATGACAACAAATATCAGGATTTTGACGTTGACGTTTCTAATGATTTCCTTCTCAAGGATGGTGACGATTTCAAGGTAAAATATCCATGGACTGTTTCGATCAAAATTCGATGAGAATGTCATGTTAAGTTTTAATGTTCATGTTTTTAAACATTATTTTTACATTTTAGATATCAGATGCTTTCGCTCGCAAAATCAAAAAGAAATTAAGTGTTATGTTACAAGATATTGTGACTCATGGTTCAGAGATTTTGGATTCAGGGTCCTCTGTTTACACTGGAGTATCTGGGGTTGCTATGACTCTATTCTTTGCGAGTCGTTGCATCAATCAAGAACTGGATCAGGTTTGACGACAATTAGCAATTCTAGCAGGTCTAAAAATCCTAATACTTGTTTGTACGTCAAAGTTTTTCTATTCTTCCAGGCTGCCAAATCTCTCATAAATTCAGTCTCTGAAAATCCGTCTCGTTCTAGAGTCAATTTTTTAAATGGATCTTCTGGTGTTTTAATGCTGAAGGCCATGATAAACAACAACACAGAGAGCCAAGAACTCCTAAATCAAAGGTACTGATTTAGATTTGAACAAATTTTACTTGTTTGAAAAATTACCTTTCTTAAAGAAGTTTACTAATTTTTTTCAGGTTGTTGACTTTGTTTAAAATAGTCAAGAATCCTCAATCTGATTTGCCCAATGAACTGTTATATGGTCGAGTTGGGTTTCTTTACACTCTACTACTCATGAAAAGCTGCCAGATGCCTCACCATTTTAGTGATTCAGATATAAAGGATGTATGTTAAACAAGTTTGTTTGTTCTTTCATGTCAAAGTTTCTAAAGTTTAGCCTAATTCGATTTGTTTTTAAAAAAAATTCAGGTAGTGAATATAATTATTGAACAGGGACGCAGTCTAGCATTAAAGGAAAAGTGCCAGGCCCCACTAAAATTCAAGTGGCATGACAAAAACTACTATGGAGGTGCTCATGGCACTGCTGGAATTTTGTACCTCCTTCTTCAAGTGAGTTTATTTCATACAACCCCATCATTGCAGTCTTAGGTTGTCTTGCACTTCTTATTATTCTTAAAACTGCATTTAAATTTGTGCAGGCAAAAGACTATGTAAATGAAGGAGACTTAATAAATTACATCCAACCAACAATTGACAATTTGTTACAATGTCGCTTTCAAAGTGGCAACTTACAATCTTCAGAGGGCAGTACTTCAGACCGTTTAGTGCAATGGTGCCATGGTGCTCCTGGAGCAGTTCAATTGTTTTGCCTTGCTTATGAGGTCAGTTTCTCAGGTTCTCCTAAGGGTCATCAAATTTTTTTGCAGTTTTTGAAATAGATATTCCCTTGTGATACAGATTTTTGAGGACAAGCGCTACCTTGCTGCTGCAATCCAATGTGGTGAAGTTGTGTGGACACGTGGTCTTCTTCGCAAAGGATGTGGCCTTTGTCATGGAACTTCAGGAAATGCATACACATTTATTGCACTGTATCAGATGTGCCAGGTATGTGTCCCTTAATGCATTTCATGTCCAAGTTCTTTCTTAAAAAGTTATCACAAATGTGCTTTTCATTCTTTTTTTTTCTGTCAACAGAAACGGAAAGAATTCACAAAAATAGATGCTGCAAAACATCTTTACAGGGCTTGTGCATTTGCTGATTGGTGTTTCCACTGGGAAAGGCACAGGGAAAGACTCCCAGACCGGTATTACTCCCTGTTTGAAGGCCTGGCCGGTACTGCGTACTTTCTCACTGATATGCTGAACCCCTTGAAAGCAGCGTTTCCAGCCTACACAGTTCCAACGATTTAAATTAATGCTTTTTCCTTTGCCAATAAATTGATATGTCGCAATATCTGTTTATTTCCGCTCTTCTTGTTTTCCAAAGTCCCGTGAAACACACCCACTCCCTGCTGCTGTTTTCCTTGGGGGGTAGGCAACGCCCAGCCGGGCGCCACACCTGTGTGGAGCGGGTGGTCTACCCGGCAGGCTATCAACCCCATTTTTTCGAAGAGGGCCATGTCGCACAATCTGCTTACCCACAAGGTGGGGTGTCAGGCTTGTTATGCCTACCTTCAGGGTGGTACCCAATTTGACCGGGAGGGGCCATGCCCCCCGAGCGACCGGTGTGCCGATAGTATGTGGAGATTGGTCCATGTCGGCTCGACGGTTCACCAGAGTTCGCTTCCGCAATGAAAGAGCCTGCGCTGCGGATTCCGATAAGTACGATGGATGCGAATCGTGCTGAACCGAAGCGACCCGAAGCCGAGTCGGAACTCGGGGCGGCCGAGCCGAGCGCGGGAAGCCGGCAGGGGCAGCAGACCGGCAGGGGCAGCAGACCGGCAGGGTCTGTTCTCTCGGCAGCAAATGCTGCAAAGGCACAAGGCAGCAAGGCACAACTCCAGCCGCAGGACCCGACGAGCGGCAAGGCAACGGATTTAGCTCTCGTTATCGCTTTCGGCTTTCGGGGGCCGTTCGCCGGTCTTGGCGAGTGGGGGCCGAGGGGCCACGTGGGCGTGGCTGGAAGCGAAAGAAGCAAAAGGAAAGCCAGGACTCGGCTCGTCCAATTTCGGAAATGGTTCGGACCCCATGAGTGCGTGCGCCGCCCCGCCGACCGGCAGCATGGCAGCGCCAAGGGAAGAGTCAGCGTCCTCCAGCAACCGCCGTCACTAGTGAGTAAAGGGACGAGGCAGCATGGCAGCGCCAAGGGAAGCGTCAGCGTCCTCCAGCAACCGCCGTCACTAGTGAGTAAAGGGACGAGGCAGCATGGCAGCGCCAAGGGAAGAGTCAGCGTCCTCCAGCAACCGCCGTCACTAGTGAGTAAAGGGACGAGGCAGCATGGCAGCGCCAAGGGAAGCGTCAGCGTCCTCCAGCAACCGCCGTCACTAGTGAGTAAAGGGACGAGGCAGCATGGCAGCGCCAAGGGAAGCGTCAGCGTCCTCCAGCAACCGCCGTCACTAGTGAGTAAAGGGACGAGGCAGCATGGCAGCGCCAAGGGAAGCGTCAGCGTCCTCCAGCAACCGCCGTCACTAGTGAGTAAAGGGACGAGGCAGCATGGCAGCGCCAAGGGAAGCGTCAGCGTCCTCCAGCAACCGCCGTCACTAGTGAGTAAAGGGACGAGGCGGGATGGCTCTTTGGGACGTCGACGTCGGATGGACCTAGGGCTGGGCGGACTCGCCGTGCTTCCCGCCCGCTACTCTATCTAGCCACCCGGCATGATAAAAGGCCAGGCGCGGATCCAAGGGGGGGGGGGGGCGATGGGGGCGTCGCCCCCCCCCCTGAAGGCGGCGAAGCCGCCTGAAAGGTAGGCAAAAAGTCGCACATTACCCCTGTAGGTAGGCAACTTTCGTGACGTCGCCCCCCCTGAACCCGTCTCTGGATCCGCCCTTGTAAAAGGCCGAGTTCGTTGGCTTAAACTTGACGCTGCAGAATTTCCGATCCAGCCGCGTGACTCCTGTTATGCACCTTGCATGCCGTGTCGTTGAATCGCGACCGAATCAAGTTCGCACCATGAGAGAAGGGCGCCCCTTCTCTCATGTTCGCACTGTTTTCTCAGACGCCCGTTCATTCGCATTCGCCACGACCGCGATGCTGCGTATTACCACGCTATCGCCGAGCCCCGCCGCGCCACGGATGCTGTGTACTCTCGCGGAGGAGTCTTGCGTTCAGAGTGCAAATGTAAAAATCAGGGGGAGGGAGGGGGGTGCATCACATTTCGCGGCTACACAGAAGTATGGTAGCTCGTAGAGGGCGCGAAATGGGTACAAAATTACGGGCTACGTTGCGGAACTTGAGAGTTGACACTTCCGATTCATCTGAACTTGTGTCTCGACTGCTTTGTGCTGCTGTTTTTGTTGACGCATTCGAGAGCCCCGTCTTGGACTGTTGCAGCCTGGGCGTCGTCTGCCTGCTGGTCCTGGCCGCTGGCTGGAGCGAGAGCCGCACCATCTTCAACTACGATGTTGGTACGGAGTACGGAGCGCGCTAATCAGTGGCGTGGGCGTGCGGCGCGCGCGCGGCGTTCTGCTCACTGAGGCCCCGGACCGGCCCGGACGCGACGCGCGACGGCCACCGGGCGGTCCCGTCCCGGACGCCGCGGCGGACGCCCACCCATCCCCGTTATCGGGACCCTCGGTACACCCGCTGAGCCGCCGACCCCAAGGAGAAAAACATGTCGTCTTTTCATGACGTCTGAGACTGTAAAGGCCTGGCCGCCGGCGGTCCCCCTCATGGTGCCCACGGCTCTCACTCTGTAAAGAGGTCGCTTGGAGGAATGCCTTGGAAAGACGCTTGCCGGGGCTCGCGCACCCTTGCCGTTGACTGGCTCAGGCCGACAAGAGCGCCTGCAGAGCTCAGGGCAGGCAGTCCCGCGGCACACGCCGCCGGGGCTGGTGGCCTACCTTGCGCGGCGATGTGCTGGTTCAGGCGCGTGTTGCGCGAGGAAGTTGGTTGAAACTCTCCAAAGTGACACAGTTCCAGTTCCAACCAACTTCCCCTGCCGTGCGGCTCCCCCAGCTTTACCGCTCCGCACAAAAACAAAAAGCACACTCGCGGACAGCACGCGCGCAGTGATGCGCAGTAAATGCTTTGACAGGGGACGGCAACTTCCTGGAGAACGGCGCGGTCCTGGAGTCCTACGAGGTGTGCGAGACCCGGGCGTGCCGGGCGGCGGGTAAGTCAGTCGCTGCAGTCGGCACTCTACTCCGTGGGACCGGGTTCGACTCCCATCACCGCCATCCTTGTTTCTCGTGCCGGCACCAGCCCGTTCCTTGCTCGAGTCACTCAACATGTCCGCCAACCCCTGCACGGACTTCTACGACTTCGCCTGCGGAGGCTGGATCTCCAAGCACCCGGTGCCGGCCACCGAGTCCCACTTCAACCACTTCAACGAGGCCGAGGACCGCCTGCAGCACCAGCTAAAGGGTGAGAGAGAGAGAGAGAGAGAGAGAGAGAGAGAGAGAGAGAGAGAGAGAGAGAGAGAGAGAGAGAGAGAGAGAGAGAGAAACGTCGCGCGGGAGGCGCGGGCATTTCGTTTCTTCAACGCGTTGTTCTGGGCAGGGATCCTGGAGTCTGAGGCCGGGCCCGAGGAGCCGGTGCCGGTCCAGCAGGCCAAGGCGCTGTACCAGACGTGCCTCAACACCGGTAAGAATCAATCCTAGTCCCCGCCGGCCTGGCCACAGAGACCGAGCCAGGGAGTGAAACTTGTGCGACTCGCCTCGCCCCTGGTCCGCAGACGGCGTGGAGGCGGAGGGACTGTCGCCGCTGCTCACGGAGCTGGCCGTGCTGGGCGGCTGGCCGATGGCGATGGAGGAGGACGCCTGGGACGAGGCGGCCTTCAGCTGGCAGGCCGCCGTCACGCGCATGCTGGGCCAGTGGTCCATCGGGCCGCTCTTCATCATGTACGTCTTCACGGACAAGATGGACTCCTCCAGGAACATCATCACTCTGGACCAGGTACTAGCGGCGCACAGTGGGCCAGAAGACCGGTGGAGGCGGCCAAAACTCTAGACGCGTTTTGAGCTCCAGAGTCGCTAGACAGGCCTCGAACCGAACGTGTGACCCCACCAATGGATTGCTCTCCGAACGAGGAATCCATTGGTGGGGTCACACGTCCGGTTCGAGGCCTGTTTGCCGACTCTGGAGCTCAAAACGCGTCTAGAGTTTTGGCCGCCTCCACCGGTCTTCTGGCCCACTGTGCGGCGTCGAGGTGTCAAGCACTCTCCGAAAGCACAGCGAGTGAGTGTTGGTCTGCCTGGTCTGCAGCCCGGGCTGACGCTGGCGCGCCGCATGCTGGTGGAGCCGGCGGCGTACCGGCCGCAGCACGCCGCCATGCTGGCCTGGATGTCCGGCGCGGCGCTGGAGCTGGCCAGGGCGGCGGGCAGGCCGCTGGACCCGCAGCACGTCACGGAGCAGGCGCAGCAGGTGGTGCTCTTCGAGGCGGAGCTCGCCAAGGTCAAGTCTACGCCGTCTACGCGCAGCGCGAGTGCTGCAGATGGATGTTCCTCTATTGGCCCAAAATAATCTCGCTGCAAATGGAACCCCCAGATCACGACGCCGCCCGAGAGCAGGCGCGACGGGTTCCGCATCTACAACCCCCGCACCGTGGCGGAGCTGCAGACGTGGACCAGCGCGGTGCGGCCCGTCCGCGCCGACTCGGAGCCGCGCTGGCTGGACGTGCTGCGGGGCATGACGGCCGCCAGCGGCATCACGGTGGACGCGTCCGAGCGCATCGTCGTCAAGGAGCTGGACTTCGTGCAGAAGCTGGTCTCGCTCGTGGACCGCACGCCGCGCCGCGTGCTCGGTACGTCGTAGACAGTGTGCGTCCTGCCGAAATAGCACGCGACCACGGCTAACGTAAACGCCAATCTCGCCGCGCAGCCAACTACATCTGGTGGCGCCTGGTGCGCGCGCTCTCCGGCGACCTGACGGACGCCATGCGCCAGCTGGCCTTCCAGTTCGACCGCGCGCTCATCGGCACCCTGGAGGACACGCCGCGCTGGAAGGACTGCGTGCAGCGGACCAGCAGCTTCCTCGGGTAACCCCGCCAACCCTGTCCCGGGTTCGAGTCCCGCCGCCGCCCCGAGCTCATGTCCAAACCCCTGCCGCAGCTTCGCCGTGGGCTACGAGTACGTGCGGCGCCACTTCGACGACGCGGCCAAGCAGTCCGCAGTGGCGCTGGTGCGCGACCTCCGCGCCTCCTTCGCCGCGGACATGGCGGCCGTGGCCTGGATGGACGCGGACACGCGCGACGCGGCGCTGCACAAGGCCAGGGCCATGACGGAGTTCATCGGCTACCCCGAGTGGTACGCCAACGCCTCCGCGCTCGAGCACCACTACCGAGGGGTGAGTCGCGGGGTCGCGGCACGTCGCCGCCGAGGGAAGCGTTTGGCCTGAGCGCACTTTTGTGGTGCAGGTGTCCGTCGGCAGCAGCCACTTCCGCAACACGCTGGGCATGAGGAGCTACCTGATGCGCCAGGCCGTCGTCAAGTTGCGGAAGCCCGTCGACCGCCTCGAGTAAGCAAATCTAGTCGCTGAGCCTAGCGCGGCCTGGCGCGGTCTTGTCCTCCGCCTCCGCCACTGCTCCGTCACGGCCGTAACCGTCTTGTCCATGCCCCTGCAGGTGGCTGACGGGACCCGCCGTCGTCAACGCGTACTACAACCCTGGGGCTAATTCCATCAGTGAGTGGACGAGGAGTCGTCCGGTTTTACTTTCACTTATTTTCGTTTCGTTTGTTTCTGTCATTTGTGAATTTTCTCCCAACCCTGTCTTCCAGTCTTCCCCGCCGGCATCCTCCAGCCACCCTTCTTCAGCCGCGGCCGCGTCGAGTAAGCATCGCATGTGTGTGTGTGTGTGCGTGTGAGCGTTGGGAAGGTGCTGACTTTCGCTTCGAATTGCAGGGCGTTGAACTACGGCGGCGTCGGGGTCGCCATCGGCCACGAGATCACGCACGGCTTCGACGACATGGGTATGTTCTCGGCGTGGCGGCGCTCGGAGGGCCGGGAAGCACGCTGATGAGGGTGTTGTTGGTGCTGCAGGCCGGCAGAGCGACGCGCAAGGCAACCTGGCGCAGTGGTGGAGCGCGGCCACGCTGGAGACGTACCTCCGCAAGGCGCAGTGCATCGTGCAGCAGTACGACGCATACCGGGTGCCCGAGATTGACGGGCTGCTGGGCAGCGCCGCCACGGTCAGTCTCCCCTGTCTCCAAGTCGCTTTCCTAGCTCTATCTCTCTCGCACTCATGGGGCATGCCGTACCGGTGCGAGAGAGACAGAGTGACTCCTGCCGTGCCCTCCAGGTGAACGGCGTGACCACGCAGGGCGAGAACATCGCGGACAACGGCGGGCTGCGGCTGGCCTACAAGGCCTACCAGCGCTACCTCCAGCGCGCGGGGCCGGAGCCGCGGCTGGTGGGGCTGGAGGAGTTCACCCCGGAGCAGCTCTTCTTCCTGGGCTTCGGCACGGTGAGCGGGACGGGGACGGGACTGCGCACAATGGGCCAGAAGACCGGTGGAGCGGCCAAAACTCTAGACGCGGTTTGAGCTCCATAGTCGCTAAATGGGACTCGAACCTAACGTGTGACCCCACCAATCGATTCCTCGTTCGGAGAGCAATCCATTGGTGGGGTCACACGTTCGGTTCGAGTCCCATTTAGCGACTCTGGAGCTCAAAACGCGTCTAGAGTTTTGGCCGCCTCCACCGACTTCTGGCCCACTGTGTGCCGCCAGCCTTGCCTCTTGCCTCACGCCCCTCTTGTCCTCCCCGCAGACGTGGTGCGAGTCCACGACGCGCGAGTCGCTGCTCAACGAGGTGCTGACGGACGCCCACGCGCCGCACCGCTTCCGGGTGCAGGGCTCGCTGGCCAACTCGAGGGAGTTCGCGGCGGCGTGGGGCTGCCCCACGCAGCAGGCCGCCGCCCAGCCCCAGTGCCTCGTCTGGTAGGGGCCTAGGGGGTGTCCCCGGGACACTCAGACTGAACAAGAACAACCCGCGGCGGGACGGAGCCGCCACCGACTGAGCAGACAAGCAGACTATGTAGCAGACACAGCGGCGGCCTCGCCTTGGCCTCGCCAATCAACAGACCCGCAGACAAAAGCACAAGACTTATTTATTTCCCTGAAATAAACGGCCAGTTGTGAAGATGACAATCTGAGAAATGTACAACGATGCGTATTTGTAAATCCAAGAAAAATAAAATAATTTGATAAACATTTTTTACAAAACATACAAAACGACTTGTGTCTTTTTTACATGGACTAAAACGAAAACCCCGGTGGGATGTGCCGGTTGCCGGACCAAACCCACGAACGCTGCTTCTGGGGGCACAGGGGGTCAGGGAAGGACCGCGAGACCAAAGCCACTCGGCCGAGCCAGTCAGTTGGGCCCCCTGACTTCATTGAGCTGCGTGGAGGCGAGGGATGGCCGCACGGCCAGGTAGTCTACCTCGCCGTCCGGGCTGAGTGCGCGACAAACGGGAAATTGAACATCCAGGAGACCCGGTGGCAACCAGCCCGCCTGTTACGCGCTTTAGACTGTACCTGAATTTTCTCGAGCCGTCCAGGAAGGCGTCCTCGTCCTGCTCGTCCGTGTGGACCGAAGAGTGGTCGTCGTCCTGGTCGCTGTCGTCCACGGGCTCCACGGGGTCGTCGCGGTCGTCGCGGTCGTCGCGCTCGGCCAGGGCCCTGCTGCGCCGCAGCGCGCTGACTAGGTCCTCGCAGGGGAAGGCCGCCGAGGCCGGGGGGCTGGAGAGCCCCACGTCCTGCGCGAAGGACACCTGTCGCGGCCGGGGCGGCCAGTCAGTGCGCACGTCAGTGTAGGTCGCGGCGGTGTTGCAAGGACGCAGCGAGCCTCTGCTGACCTGGTGGCGCACACGGTGCATCTTCTCCTCGTCCGTGAGGTTGCTGTGGCTGGAGCAGCGCAGGCGCGGGCTGAGGCCGTGCGCCGCGGCGGCCGAGGCCAGGTTGACGCTGGTGCAGGTGCGGTTCAGGTGGATCAGCTCCATCTTGTGTCCGAGGCCCGCGACGCCCGCAGCGGGGCCGGCCGCGTCCCTCGGCAGGACGAGCACCTCGCGACGCTCGCTAGCCCCGCCGTCCGCGTCCATGGACGCGTCCACGCGCAGGTCGGGGTGGTGGCTCTTCTTGCGGACCAGCGCCGTGCCCGGCGGCGTCGCGGAGAACGGCGAACCTGTGCCTCTGCTGTGTTCGCGAGGCTGTCGAGCACGAGGTTGAAGCAACACCACCCCATCCCCGGCTGAACGCCCTGCCCACCTCCGTCGCCGCGGGTGCGCGTGTAGCGGTGGATCGCCCCCAGGGACGGCGGCGAGGTCTTCTTGTCGAGGCCGACGAGGCTGAGCCCGCCAAGGCCGCCCAACGGCGCGCCGCCACCCGGGCCGATGGGCACCGCGGGCGAGAGGCGCGGCCTCGCCTGCACCGAGGCGTCATCCCCCATGGCGTCGACGTCGGCCGCCTCGGCCCCGACTTGTCCTAAAACACGGGGCTCTGCACACGCCGCCACCAACGTGGCGAACCAACTGATGTTGCGCCTCGAAGAGTTCGTACCTCAGACCGACTCCACTCGGCTAGATCTCCCCTCTGCCTCCAAATCGCGTCGGGGAAGTGCAAACTGTCAGACAAGGTGCGTCTCTGACCATTCACTGCCAATTTTGGTTCACGTTTTCTCCCCTGGGCAAAACAATCGAGCTGCGCCGGTGGCGCTTTATTTCATTGTAGAGGGCGCGTTGAATGGCCAAGAGGACGAAATTTAGGTAATTTGCGTCTGTTTCCGGGTCTTCTGCCTCCGAGGTGACCGCATTTGACTGTGGAGTCTGTCTCTCGAATGTTCCCCATCGTCATTGAATTTCAATGGTTACATTCCCCCGACCCTCTTCGTCTCGACTCGACGCTCCGTCTCTGTCTTGTTCTGTATCTGTCTCTCTCACACTCGTTGTCGCTTGCTGTCCGTGTGTTCCATCCTTCTCTTTCTGCCGGCGAGGGACGTCCTTCTCTCTCACTCCCTAGTGCGCTCTTCTTCTGTCTCCGTCTGACTGTCTCTCCGCTAGTCAATCCGCCCAGCCGTCTGTCTCTCTCACTCGCTCCGCCACTGTCTCTCTCGCACGCGGTACAGTGCCCCTAAAAAGTTTCCCGCTGGCGCGGCATGGCCCGCGGTCCGCACGCTGCCGGCTGCCAAGAGGGAAGACCGAGGCATTGTCACGCCCCCCGCGACGTGTCATTTGAAGCGCGCCGGCGCCGTCCTTCTGCCTCGGAGTGTCCTGGGGCCGAACGCCACATCTGGTGCGTAAAATGCGTTATTGTTCGAGACTGTACCCGACGACGCGATGTTCGGTACGCCTCGCCTCGAGTCTCGGCTTGCCACCGTTGGAACTACTTTCGCGACGATGCTGCTACCTGCGGCGGAGTTTGGAACCTCCCGTCGACCCGTTTCCGCCGCGGTGCCCTCGAAACACCTCGAAAGCCGAACTGGAAACTGGGACAGAGACGGACCCCGGAATTTCGGCAGATTTGGGCTGAAGTAAACATTTGAAAGAGCATGGCGGTTTTACAGCGGAGATCGAAGACAAACTTCCCGACAAGCGAAATTTCACGCCCCAGAACTACTAGTCCTTAAGTCCGTAAGACATCGGCGTCTCCACCTCCCTCCTCCATCCTGCGCTATTCACCTGAAGTGAATTTCGAACATTTTACTCGAAAGGAAAATATGAGTTCTCATTTCGTCCGGGAAATCGTTCACGTTGAAACATTGCAGTGTCAATAATTTTGTTACGTAAACAACAAAAATAAAAAAGGCAAAGAATTTTCCGACAATATTTTTTGTTTTACCGGCTAAGGGTGAAAACGTCTGAAATAGCTGAAGACCGCTTTAAATTTCTCTGAGGGAGATCCCGCTTCAAACTGCCCGCTGCTTTCCCTTTCCCGGATCGATCGCGCCCGAAGAGAAAAGTAGTCCTTGATGGCATGAATGGGAATGAAGAAGGCAATTTTCTTCGGTATCTTTCGCAAGGAAATGGAGGAACTTAAATTCTTCGCGTCCAAAGGACTGGAAGCGACACGCGCTTCGAGGCGTGGAGCCCAGAAGACGCCTCGTTTTCGAACAACAATTTGGCGTGTCCACTATTTTTTTCTAATTTCGGCCCGTTTCCCGCGGAGCCGCGGAGCGGAGCTTGCGGAGCGAGCCGAGTGCACTTCCTTAGCGCATGCGCCGTGGAGTCGATACGCTCTCGAGTGTGATGATGCGATCGGGGCTGTGCGGGTACAGTTCGCGGTGAATCTTTTCTAAATACACTGTTGTTAAGATATAATTTATCTTCAAGAGCAAGATTAGTGAACGAGTGAGGTGCTGAGGCATTAAATATGGCCTCAGACGAAGAAGTTGAGGAGTCCTTTGCCGGTAAGTTGACCTACCATGGCGTGTTTGTTTTCTTGGAGCATCCTGAGGCGAGCGGGACGAGATGGGATCATGTGGTTAGGTCGCCAAAACAACGAAATATACTGAATTATTTGTATCGGTTTCGCCAGCGACCGTTTCATCTTAACACTTGATATGCTTGTCAGCTATTTTCAGAGAATTTCCGCGCCCCGCGCAGTCATAAGTTCGCTCTGGAACGTGAAAGAGAGAGAGAGAGGAGGGTTGGGGGGGACGATTATTTTTCTGTGACAGCGCGGGTATCCCGGTCCCTTAAAACAAAATGGAGGCCATGAAACAAAGAAATAGGCTCGGTGCGTACCGATCCCATTTCTTAAATTATTGATGATTCATGACTGAACAAGTCACGAAATTGGGAAATCTGTCCAGAATGGCTCTTGTTTTCCCCATTTCCTCGCGTCGGCCAGTCGGCTTCGCTGGAACGGGGACTCCAGCTGATGGTCGCCTCCCTCTAATGATGGTTCATTCTGGAGGTTAAGCGTGTTAATTATTTTTCTCTGGCATTTTCCATGCCACGCGACGTTTTGGAACACGAGTTAAAGAGACATTCGCTGTGACTTGGTTGACACTCCCCAATGAACCAGTTGGAAAACGCCGGTCTTTGGTTATGACACCGGACGAGGACGAGAGAGAAAGAGCTGCGTTGAGAGAGACGCTCTCGGCGACGTCATAACCTAGCTTCACTTATTCATTTTGGTTTTAGCGGTTTTCACGCTCCGTTTCGTTGCGTGAGCCCTGGAAACTTCACATGATCTAAAGCATCTATAACCCTCCTTTTTGTGGATATCTTATTTAGTCCATAATTCAATCATTTTCGTCTTAAGTGAATATAGGTGGATTTAATTATGAATGGAGACCCACTTATGTTGCATGTTCTGATTTTTTAAAATGCCAATTTTTTAGAATGGCTTCTTTGTAACCAAATCCCAGTCTATCGAAGCTATTCAATTTTAGTCGGGTATTTGGATTGTTCTGACTGTGACCAATGCCTGCTCAAATTTGGATATCGGTTTTTCTCACCTGTAGGTTTCTTTGTCATGAATTCAATATTTGTTCTAGGGGAGGAGGAAGCAGAGGATGCTGCTGGCCGCAATGAAGATGCCTCACATGATTCTGATGAGGATAAAAAGGCTGTTCGTATTTCTATCATTTTTTATTTCGTTGTATCACCCCACACTTTTTGACCCTTTGTAATGTGTAATATGTTTCTCATTTTTTTAGGGGGACGATGAGTATGAGCCTGAAGAAAGCCACAGTAAAAGGAAGAAAGGAAAGAAGCGAAAGGCTAAAAGTGAAGGCAAAAAAGATAAAAAGAAAAAGAAGAAGAAGAAAAATGACAGTGAAGAAGTATGTTTCTACATTTTAACACCTTTTTTCATTCAAACTCTACTCTAAATTATTTTTAATCTTGAATAATTTGCTTTGCAGGAAGCTGACTTTGAATCCCAGGACGCTGGAGATAATGACACCTTGCAGGATTCAGATGCTGCTCCTTCGAGCAGCAAGAAAAGCAGCCGTAGGTCTCGAGGTAAACAAGAGAAGCAGGAGAAACCTCCCACAAATTCCAATGCAGCTGCATCCAGCGAATCTTCTGGTAAATCTCTTTTTCTTACCTTTCTTTACTTACTTGACTTGTGTTGTACTTTCCCTTTAAGACTTGCCTAATATCTTTGTTCTTTGTTGTTTTTTTAGGAATGCCTACAGTCAATGAAGTTTGTGCTACCTTTGGCTTGACGGATGTGGAAGTTGAATATTCAGATGCTGACTATCAGAACCTCACCACTTACAAATTGTTCCAACAACATGTGAGACCTCTTCTCTCTAAAGAAAATCCGAAAGTGCCCATGGGGAAACTTATGATGCTGGTCGCGGCCAAGTGGCGTGACTTCTCTGAAATGAATCCTCATACTAAGGAACAAATCGAAGAAGAAGAAGGAGGTAACGAGGAGGCATACACTCCCAAACCCAGTCGGTTACGATCCACGAGGGATTCCAGAGCTGCGGATCCCGATGTTAATGACGAGGAGGAGGAGGAAGATGATGATGAAATTGAACAGAGATCATCGAAAAAGAAGAGCCGAAGCCGCAGCAAGAAATCTAGTGGTAGTAGTAAGAAGGCCAAAGTTCCCACAATCAAGATTAAAATTGGCAGCAAGCGCAAGAGAGGAAGCTCTGATGATGATGACAATGGGGATACTCGTTCAGACCAGGATTCTGATGCAGAATTTGAACAAATGCTGAAGGAAGCAGAAGATGTGAATAAAGAAGAGGAAGTGGAGGAGGCAGCTGATGCGGAAGCAAAGGACAAACCCGAACAACCACGTCGTAAGGCCAAGACTAAAATTGGCCAAAAGAACAAGAAGAAGAAGACCAAAACAACTTCAAAATTCCCTGATGGTGGTGAAGAGCAAACAGACCATCAAGATTATTGTGAAGTGTGTCAACAAGGAGGGGAAATCATTCTCTGTGACACTTGTCCTCGTGCTTATCATTTGGTTTGTCTGGAGCCAGAGCTTGAAGAAACTCCAGAAGGGAAGTGGTCTTGCCCACATTGTGAAAGTGAAGGCACCCAAGAGCAAGAAGATGATGAACATCAGGAGTTCTGTAGAGTGTGCAAGGATGGTGGAGAATTGCTGTGCTGTGATTCTTGCCCTTCTGCGTATCACACATTCTGTCTAAACCCTCCTTTGACTGAAATTCCGGATGGTGATTGGAAGTGCCCGAGGTGTTCAGCAAAGCCACTACCTGGAAAAGTTCAAAAGATTTTGACTTGGCGTTGGGTTGAAAATGATAAAAAAGAAGAGAATGGAGAAAGCAAGCCAGTGAAGAAGTCACAGAGGCAGCGAGAGTACTTTGTCAAGTGGCAAGATAAGTCTTACTGGCATTGCTCCTGGGTATCTGAATTGCAGATGGAAGTATTCCATGGCATTATGATTCGCTGCTACACACGCAAATTTGACATGGATGAACCTCCTCGCTTTGAGGACCCACTTGATGAGATGGATGCCCGAAGAAAAAGGATCACTGACGCTCAAGCATTCTCTCAAAATATGGAAGAGAGATTCTACAAGTAAGCACTACATAAGTAGTATAATTTATATAATATCTGAGACAAATTCACCAATTAATTTGTATCTTATTCTCTTTAGGTATGGTATTAAACCAGAGTGGCTGCAGGTGCACAGAGTATTGAACCACCGCTCCATGCGTGATGGCCGCATGTTGTACCTAGTGAAATGGAGAGACCTTTCTTATGAAAGTGCAACATGGGAAGAAGATGATGATTCAACACATGGGTTGAAGCAAGCTGTGGAGTACTACATGGTATGCATACCTCATTTCCTGTTACCTGAATGCTTGTTCTATTGATCAAATCGATTATTTATCCCCCTATTGTTCGTTTATTAGGACCTGCGAGCTGCCTGCAATGTGGATTCTGGCAGTAGTAAGAAGTCCTCCAAATCGAAGAAGGGCAAGAAGTCAAAGTCCAAGGAGAATGACTATGATGGAGAAAGGAGCACACAGTAAGACCCTTCTCCCTTACACTTATTATTTTCAAATCAATACCTCCATTTCAGAATGGTTTGCCTTAGTTTGCTCTTTTGACAAGTGAGTGACATGCATTTCAATTTCTCTTGCAGGAGAAAGTTCATCCCTCCTCCTGAAAAGCCCTCCACTGATCTCAAGCGTAAATGGGACAAACAACCTGACTATCTTGATGCCACTGGCTGTTGTCTTCATCCCTACCAGTTAGAGGGCCTGAACTGGTTGCGGTACTCTTGGGGTCAAGGTCTTGATACAATTTTAGCTGATGAGATGGGTCTTGGAAAAACTATCCAAACTATTACATTCCTGTACTCACTGTATAAGGAAGGACATTGCAAAGGGCCATTCCTTGTAAGTACTGATGTCATTTTATGCCCACCCCTTTTTTTAATAATATCTTGCCCATTGTATTTGTTTGGTTTATGCTATTTTTTTTTGCCCTCAGGTGAGTGCTCCACTTTCAACCATCATTAACTGGGAGAGAGAATTTGAAGTTTGGGCTCCAGATTTTTATGTGGTTACCTATGTTGGTGACAAAGATTCTCGTGCAGTTATTCGAGAACATGAACTCTCCTTTGAAGAAAATGCTGTGCGTGGAAGCAGAGCAGGACGAATTCGCTCCAACACAATAAAATTCCATGTGCTGTTGACAAGTTATGAGCTTATTTCTATTGATGTTGCTTGCTTGGGATCCATTGATTGGGCTGTGCTTGTCGTTGATGAAGCCCATCGTTTGAAGAGTAACCAGTCCAAGGTAGGTTGCAGCTGTAATGCTGTGACAACTACAGCTGAAAGTCTTTCAATCACTGACTCATTTATTTATTTTTTCCCTTCTTCAAACAGTTCTTTAGGCTGCTGGCTGGATACAACATTGCTTACAAGCTACTTCTCACTGGTACACCTCTTCAAAACAATCTGGAGGAATTGTTCCATCTGCTGAACTTCTTGTCCAGCGAAAAATTCAATGACTTAGCTTCATTCCAAAACGAATTCGCGGACATAAACAAAGAAGAGCAAGTTAAAAAATTGCATGACATGCTGGGGCCCCACATGCTGCGTCGTTTGAAAGCTGACGTACTCAAGAACATGCCAACCAAATCTGAGTTTATTGTGCGTGTTGAATTGTCTCCCATGCAAAAGAAGTATTACAAGTACATCCTCACCAAGAACTTTGAAGCACTCAATCCCAAAGGTGGAGGTCAACAAATGTCCCTGCTCAACATCATGATGGACTTGAAGAAGTGCTGCAACCACCCTTATCTCTTCCCTGTGGCTGCACAGGAAGCACCTGTTAATGCTAACGGGCAGTATGAAGTTAATGGTTTGATCAAGGCCTCTGGTAAACTGACCCTCCTTTCTAAAATGTTGCGCAAGTTGCATGACACTGGGCACCGTGTACTTATCTTCTCTCAAATGACAAAAATGTTGGATTTATTGGAAGATTATCTTGAAGGAGAAGGATACAAGTATGAGCGTATTGATGGTGGTATCACTGGAACCTTGCGTCAAGAAGCTATTGATAGGTTCAATGCCCCTCAAGCTCCGCAGTTTGCTTTCCTTCTGTCTACTCGTGCTGGTGGTTTGGGTATCAATTTGGCCACTGCAGACACTGTCATCATCTACGACTCCGATTGGAATCCTCACAATGATATCCAGGCCTTCTCTCGTGCCCATCGTATTGGTCAGGCAAACAAGGTCATGATCTATCGTTTCGTAACAAGAAATTCTGTTGAAGAAAGAGTGACACAAGTGGCCAAGCGCAAAATGATGCTGACCCATCTTGTTGTGCGGCCTGGTATGGGCGGCAAGGCAACTAATTTTACCAAGCAGGAGATGGATGACATTCTCAGGTTCGGTACTGAAGAGCTCTTCAAAGAGGAGGAAGGCAAGGAGGAGGATGCCATTCATTACACTGATAAGGCTATTGACGAACTCTTGGAAAGATCTCAGGAGGGTATTGAGCAGAAAGAGAACTGGGCAAACGAGTATCTCTCTTCATTCAAGGTGGCTAGTTATGTCACCAAGGAAGGTGATGAGGAAGAAGAAGTTACGGAAGTCATCAAACAGGAAGCTGAAAATACGGATCCTGCATACTGGGTTAAGCTGCTCCGCCACCACTATGAACAACAGCAAGAAGATATTGCCCGTACCCTGGGTAAAGGAAAGCGAATCCGTAAACAAGTCAATTACATCGATAGCACTGTGGAAGGAAGAGATCAAGATACTACGTGGCAAGAAAATCTTTCTGACTACAATTCAGATTTCTCAGCACCATCAGACGATGACAAGGAGGATGATGACTTTGATGAGAAAGGTGGTGATGGTGAGGGAGGCGGCCGCCGAAGCAAGCGACGGCCTGAGGGTCGTAGGGACGAGAAAGACAGGCCTCTGCCTCCCCTGCTGGCCAGGGTTGGCGGAAACATTGAAGTTCTTGGCTTCAATGCCCGGCAAAGGAAGGCATTCCTCAATGCCATCATGCGCTACGGAATGCCACCTCAAGACGCATTCAATTCTCAGTGGCTGGTCCGCGATCTTCGTGGCAAGTCTGAGAAGAACTTCAAGGCATATGTATCTCTCTTTATGCGTCACCTTTGTGAACCTGGAGCAGACAATGCCGACACGTTTGCTGATGGAGTACCCCGTGAAGGACTGAGCAGACAGCATGTCCTCACTCGTATCGGCGTCATGTCACTGATCAGGAAAAAGGTGGGTTCATTCATGGTTGTGCTTACTTGAATACTTTATCCAATCACTTTTAGAATTTCAGCTGACCATTCTTTTGCTCATTTCTAACAGGTTCAAGAATTTGAAAACATCAATGGATACTACAGTATGCCAGAGTTGATCCGCAAACCTGTAGATGCTGCTGTTAAAAGTGCTGCTGCCGCTGCGGGCGTTGCACCCCCGCCTGGTCCCGCTGATGCTGCAGCTGCAGCATCTGCTTTGGCCTCGGGATCTTCCAGTGTGTCTGCAACACCAGGAACTAGTGCTTCCGCAAGTCCAGCACCTACTCCAACTCCAGGGGCTGCTGATGAAAATAAGGAAAAGGACAAGGATAAGGATAAGGAAAAAGATAAGGAAAAGGAGAAAGAGGTGAGAATGGTAATAATAAGTCTTGGTGGTACTTCCATACTTGAAAGGCAGTGGTTTTATGTTGTTTTGTTCACAGGGGGAGGACCTGACCAAAAAAGACGAAGAATCTGAGAAGGATGCTGAAGTTAAAGATGATAAGAATCCTGTAGAGGAAGAAAAGGAGAAAGAGAAAGAGAAGAATGGTGAAACTGCACCAGATGTTGAGGAGGCTGATGTTAAGGTCAAGATGGATGTTGATGAGGTAAGAACATAAACATGTTTAAATAGTAGTCATGGTAACGCAGATGATGGAACTGCGAATCATTCAGTTATTCAGAGGTTTTGTTGCTAAGCAATTGTTTGTCTCTTTACTTTTAGGAGCCTGCAAAGGAAGCGGAGAAACCAGCTGCTGCTACAGAAGAAAACGGAGAAGAAAAGAAGGATGAAGTTCAGGTCAAGGAAGAGAAGGCTGACACAGAAGCAGGAAAGGAAGACAAGCCAGAAGAGGAAGGCGAGAAAACTGCTGTAAAGAAGGAAGCTGAGGTTTCAGTCAAGGCTGAAAACAAAGATAGTGAAGAAGAAAAGACCACTGAGACAGAGAAGGATGACAAGGAAAAAGATGAGAAGAAGGACGGCAAAGATGACAAAAAGGAGGTCAAGAAAGAAGATGATGATGATATTGTGGTTGTTAAAGATGTTGAGAAAGTCAAAGTTGATGAGAAGAAGCTGGAGGAAGAAATGGAGAAGGCCAAGCGGAAGTTCATGTTCAACATTGCTGATGGTGGCTTCACTGAACTTCACACGCTGTGGGTCAACGAAGAGAAGGCGGCCGTTCCTGGTCGTGAATACGAAATCTGGCACAGGCGCCACGACTACTGGCTTCTTGCGGGAATTGTCACTCACGGCTACGGCCGTTGGCAAGATATCCAAGCAGACATTCGCTTTGCTATCATCAACGAACCATTTAAAATGGATGTCGGCAAAGGAAATTTCCTTGAAATTAAAAACAAGTTCCTGGCGAGGAGGTTCAAACTTTTGGAGCAGGCTCTAGTAATAGAGGAACAGTTGCGGAGAGCCGCTTATTTAAATTTAACCCAGGACCCAAACCACCCAGCGATGTCGTTAAATGCTAGGTTCGCTGAAGTGGAATGTTTAGCTGAGTCTCATCAGCACCTTAGTAAAGAGTCCCTGGCGGGAAACAAGCCAGCAAATGCAGTTCTTCACAAAGTAATTTTCTTCATACCTTCTTTTAATGGCTTTTCATCCTGTTATGTTCTGTACTGATTCTCTTTTCTTGATCAGGTTTTAAACCAGCTTGAGGAACTGCTGTCCGATATGAAATCGGACGTGAGCCGTTTACCGGCCACCCTGGCTCGCATCCCCCCAGTTGCGCAACGACTGCAGATGTCTGAGAGGTCAATCCTTTCAAGATTAGCAGCTACAACAACTGGATCTGCACCTAGCACCCCAACCTCTTCTCAACCAGGTACAATCTTGGCTAGATAATTAACTTTATGAGCTGTGGTTTCCTCCCTCTGTTGGTTTGCGTACTAAAATTGACCTTGATTCTCCTGAAGGTATGATAAGTGCCCAGTTCCCTTCTGGCTTCCCATCTGGACAACTTCCAGGCAGCTTTGGAGCAGCCAACTTCAGTAATTTCCGGCCACAGTACTCAGTCCCTGGACAACCCACATCTCAGGGATATGGTAAGTTTTGGAATAAACTACATATTTGATGCACTGTTTTCCTTGCTGTAGTACCTGACTGATTTTGCCCTCACTTTTTCTTCCAGTTAATTAAATTTCATAGCTGCATTAGTTTGGATGCATGTTGATACTAAGGTAAGTAATAATGTCGTTTTTCAGAAAGATTCTTAGAACTGAAATGCCTGTTATATTTGAACTAGTGTGTAATGATCTTACTCTTATGTTTCTTTATCTTCTTTCCAGTTATTGGTGTGGATTGAAGTGAGCTTTGTGTGGTGATGATACCAGGACTTCAGTCTTGTGTACAGCATATATATGCAGTGATACTTCGGTTGGAACTTTCTCAATAGAGTTTAAGAGCAAATACAGTAGTGAGTGGAAGGTTTAGGTTTAAAGTGGTGTTTTAAAAGACAGATTGGTGAATGGTTTCAACTTCAACATTCTACACTTCTTGGTGTGGTCATTGTGCAAATTTGTCTATCACTCTTGCATCTTTGTTTTTATCCTCATTTCATGTCCATAGATCTCACAAGTGGCCTATGAAGTTTCTGCTGTATTCTGTTAATTTAGCCTTGAAATGACTTCATTGGCTACGGTTTATTTCTAAGCTATTACTTGCCCAGAAAATTAGAGAGGAAATTTCAGTATTTTCTTTGCTCCAATTAGCTGGTGCTATCTTAATCATGGTTCAGTTTTCTTAGTTTGCACAAAATCATAAATTATCTGGCAAAAGATAAATCTCGTTTCAAAACGGGCTTACATTTAAAGAGCACTCTTGATTTTGTGCAAGCTTTGTACAAATACTTCCAATTTCTTTTTTATTCATTTGTTCCATTGTGAAAATGGCATATTAATGATTGTGATTTTAGGTTCAATTTTTTTTTTGAACTAGATGAAAAGTAACTTTTGTCTCCCTTTTATATCCACTACTAGTACGTACATTTGTTTTGTATTATTGTACTATGATTTATCTGTGCTTATGGACTGTACTGCTAATAGTCAACCCATTCCTTCACATTAATTTGTCTGAGCATAGTATTTGGTTTCTTCACTTCAAAATGCAAGTAAGCATTTGAATACTTGGCTTGAGAGGGAATTTGGCTCCAGTCATTTCCATCACATGAGATCCCCCGCTGAGCACTTACGCAAAGTGCTTTGTGTATTGCACTGACAGGAAATCTATAAAGGATGAAACCAAAGATAGAATCAAATGATTTTGTTGACAGCCTGACATTTTACTGTTAGCTGTGTTTTTAGGCCTCCATATTAACCTCACCTGTTTAAATCCTCCTCTCTTATGATTTGACCTCTGGAAATTTGTTTAAGTATTTGCTAACATTTTTGTTGATTACAAATTGTAATGTTGGGCCTGAATTGGATATTTTTGTATGTTCTATTTTGTGCTGTTCCTGACTTGGAGAAAATATCTATGGCTAGGAGTAAAAATGTATCCACTCTGTCTCCTCCATATGGGTTCTCAAGTACTGTACATGCCGACAAATTGTGAATGAAACTAATTATAATTAATTTATTAAAAGAGTTTTCTTTTTAAAAAAAATTGATATCAGTTTTAGATGATATGTATAAAAATGTCAGGCCCATATTGGGTCTCTCATTCAGCGTCAGGTTTTTAACTTTTATTGATTTTGGACAAGTGAAATAAGATTGCTTTGTAGACTATGTTAACTGTTTGGCTTCATGGAGTACCTGCAGTGAAAACACCGTACGATAAGAGCTTAAATGTAGGTGCCCATGAAACATGTGATTGGCATTTTGCATTCTTTGCATTTGCCCAATTTAAGTTAATAAATGATTCGTATATAAACGTGTTTGTCATGAATTTCCCTTTCCACCCAATCTTCTCTTACTCCACCTCCACAGTGAAGACCGTCAGGAGTCGGTAGCCTAGGCGAGATTGAATTTCCCGCCTAGATCCAGTACAGCCATAATCAATTCTCAAACTCGCATCCTACAAGTTCAATAATCGTACCTCGCATTCCTTGAAACTGGTGCATGCCTGACGAGAAGCCCGCTCACTTAATACCGCAGGAAGACAGGCGGGACACGAAAGTGCCCAATGTGAGTGCCTTGCAGTCCAGCCCGGAGATCGGGTTGGCAGGCCCGGCGAGCGAAGGCGCGACTTTCGACTGTCGTCGGTGCTTTCCGCAGTCGCTCCTGATTGGTCGCGCCGCAGCGGCTGCTTCTGCCATTGGTGTTCGGCGGGTGGCAAGACCGCGACGGGCTGTCCGTCTGTCTGCCTGTCCGTCGACCGAGCGAGCCCCGTGTTCCGTCCCTCTCCGCTCCGCTCCGCCGCGCGCGTCCCCGTCCAGTCAGTTGTCAAACAGACCATGCTCACACCAACACGCTGACCACGCTCCCGTCCCGATCAATGGCGCTTCACAGCCCCGTCTCCGTGTGTGACTATTCCGAACTTCGCGCTGTGAAATGTAGTTCTGACTCAACTCCACCAATGTCGCCCGAAAAGAAGACGTACGTCCCTCCCTCGTCCGAGACCATCCAGACCAAGCCGTTCCCCGTCAGAGGTAAAACACGAACCTTAGCAGTGCTGGGTCGGCCTGGTGTCGTCCGGGCATGGGCTCGCACATTTTTGGTGAGACGTGTCATGTGCAATGTGCCCTGTCATTCGCTCTGTCGAACTTGTTTCTGTCGGAGGGAACGACTGCCAGTCTCGAGTTGTTTGTGGACTTCACAGACCGTGCACGCACACTAACGTGCGAAAACGTTGTTGACGATCCTCCAGTCCGGCGAAGAATCGGAATCTGTGATGAGGTCGTGACAGCTTACATTAAAATAGTTTTGGCAGTGTTGTTTGTGGTAGTGGCTCCTAACCTCTTGGTAGGAAAAGCTGTTCTGTTGGTGGAAGAATTTTGGTGTGTACTCTGTTGCATTATCAAGTCAGCAATCAAAGTGTTTATGAATGAGAATGTTGTCCAAAATGAGGTCTTGTCTGTGATGTTTATGGATATTGATTGTTGTCGCTTCTGAGCTCCAACTGTAGTTACGTTGGAAAATTAAATCTGATTCCATTGAATCTGGCCTTAATAAATTTTCAAGCCTGTGCAAGTAAATTTGTTTGTAACTTTTATCATTGTACGTACTATTTATTTAATGGTATGAGACACAGGCTGCTTGGACATGTCTTAGGTCCATTCATTGATTGTGGGATGGGAGGGAAGACAGCGCCATGCAACAGCTTATTCACTTTGTCGTCAAAGATCCATAAGATGATATGTCAAAATTCTTCTCACTCTATTCTACAGAAATCAGTCCTTTTAAGTTGTTGGGCTATGTAGTCCAATTTCTCTGAATGGGAAATGCATTTTCTTGTGCCACCTTTCTGAGTGTGTGACAGGGAATGCATGCTATGGGTCCATCTGGGTTCTGCCTGTCAAGTTGTCAGTGCTCGCCCAGAGCTTGCCACAGTGTAGTTCCTCGGACGAGCGGCCGGCACGCGGGGCGGGGCGGGGCGGGGCCGGGCCCTAACTCGTTTCCCATACGCAGGACCTGCCAGGCAGTCAGGCACGGCCGGCAAGGCGTGCTGTCCTGTCCGCCCCGCATGCCCGGCGCGGGCCGCGCCGCGGCTTTTGGCAGGCATGTCATCACGGATGGAATGCCTCGCCGGCCTCTGCCTGGCCCGCGGCACGTCCCGCGGCGCCACCGGTCCAGCTCCAGCGGAGTCCAGCGGGGCGACGGCGGGCATGGAAGGCATGCTATTGCTGGAATCTGGGGGCCCGGGCGTGAGGCCGAGCCTGGCGGAGGTCGAGGTCGGCACACCACACCTGCCACATCCGGCGCGTCGTCGCCGTGCGCCCCTTGGCCTCACTAATAACCCTTGCCTACCTGCCCCTTTCTGACGCACCGCCTCGGCGCCTCGGCGTAGTCCTCCTTCCTCCCTGTAAAAGAGGGAAAAACAACTCCAGCGCTCCACGCGTGGTGGCGCCAGGCAGCGCCAGGCAGCGCCAGCCTGTGGCGTCGCCGGGCGTCGCCTGGAATCCTGGAATGCCGGTCCGGTCGCTTCCCCTCCGTCGTGGCGCTGCAGACGGTGCAGTCCCATCGCGCACCGGGGCTGACCGGGGCGTCCCCGAGCACGCGCGGCACGCGCCGCTCTGGCAGCGTGTGCGGACCTCGGTGCGGACCTTCAACTTGACGCGCTTGACGCCCTTGAAGCAGGTTGGCCCAGACCAGCCAGGCCTCGCCTTGCGGGGATTGGCGGCGTTTGCTTAGCCCCTCCTCATTTCCGCCGACCGGCGGCATGGCTGTGGCTTCCCCCCAAAAACCTTACAACGCCAGTGTTCGAACCGCGGGCGGCGCATCTTCGTTTTCCCCGCACGCACGGCCGCACGCCGCCGCGGCCTTGACAGTGTGAGGCTGAGGGCTCGCGGCTCCACTGTGTCCTTGACCCCCCTCCCCTCCCACCACCCGCTGAGCCCTGTGTGCCCTGCCCGCCCTTCCCCCTTTCGCTTTCCTTGTCTTTGCTCGCCGCCGTGCCTGCCTCTGCCTGCCGCTTCCTCTGGCCATCCTAAAATTAGAGGGACCCACCGAGCCTCTGTGCCCCACGGCCCACGCTGCGGCCACGCTGTGCCTCGCCGTTGATATCCACCCCGCCGCGCCCCGCCGCGCCCCCGCGCCCCGCCGCGCCCCGCCGCGCCCCGCCGCCCCGCCGCCCCGCCGCGCCCCGCCGCGCCCCGCGCCCCCGCCCGCCCGCCGCGCCCCCGCGCCCCGCCGCGCCCGCCGCGCCCCGCGCCCGCGCCGCGCCGCGCCCGCCACGCCCGACCCACGCGGACGCCGTCCTGAAGGGCGCCACCCTCAATCGATGCGCTCCAGCAGCCCCCCGCCCCGCCCCTCCGCCGCCTCCCCGCGGGCCGTCGCCGCTCTCGCCGCTGTGTGCTCCGGCTGGCTCCGGCCCTGCCGCCCCTCGCTACGCAAGGCCACCTGTTAGCCTGACGGCCTGGCGGGCCGCCCCTCCGTCCCGTGGCCGGCACCGCGTAGCGCTGGGGCCTTCTGCTGGACGCACGGCAACTTGCAGTGTATTTCGGCGCATCGGGCTCTGGCGTCTTGTTGCAGCTCTGACTGCGCTCCTTCGGTGTGCCCCAGCAATACCCCGCACAGTGGGCCAGAAGACCCGAGAAGACCGGTGGAGGCGGCCAAAACTATAGACGCGTTTTGAGCTCCAGAGTCGCTAAATGAGACTCGAACCGAACGCGTGACCCCACCAATGGATAGCTCTCCGAACGAGGAATCCATGGGTGGGGTCACACGTTCGGTTCGAGTCCCATTTAGCGACTCTGGAGCTCAAAACGCGTCTAGGGTTTTGGCCGCCTCCACCGGTCTTCTGGCCCGCTGTACCCCGCCGGGTGCAGCCGGCTGTAGCCCGTCTAGACCCCCGCCCCAGCGTAGCCGCTAGCCGCCCCGGGCCTGGCACGCCCGCCGCCGCTGTCTGTCTGTGCGCAGACTCATTTCGAGCGGGTGCCTCTATCTCCCTACGTATCTCCCGTGTGGGTTGGGTGCGAGAGAGACGGGGCGACTGGACCCCCGTCCGGAATCTGTGGTGTCTCGCTGAGCGCAGTGCGGCCGGCCGGATCCCGCTAGGTCTAGGCCCCCTGGCCCCAAGCTGCGGGCGCTTACACGCCCACCCCCGGGGGTTGAAACTTGAAACGGTCGCCGCTTCATTACACTGTAGGGGGTGTAATTAGCTCATTAGCCCCGCGGTTTGGATTACCGTCAGCTCGAAGGACGCGCGTTAATTCAATTTTCCGATTGGCCCAGCCAGTGCGCTCCGGTTTGGAGGGGAAGGGGGGGGGGGACGCTCGGACTTCCCCACCGCGGCAGCTGCGGTTCTCTCGGCGCGCATCGCAAGGAAATTGAGTCGAAATTGGATTGACACGGCGAGGCGGGCGATGATGGGATCCGGATTGAGTTCCGCCTCTCTCTCGCACTCGCTGTGTGAGGTGGCTGTCTCTCTCTCTCTCTCGTGCACGTGGCGGGCCGCGCCGGCTGCTCTAACTTTTCCTATGTTTGTCCGATGCTCGGCGCCGCGTGTACCACGCCGTGTACCGCCGCGCGCAGGCCCGCGAGGCCTGGACGGGCCGATATAGTGCGCCTTGGGCACGCCGCGAGCACGCCGCGGCCAGGGCTTGGTGCCGTGCCGCCGTGCCGCCGTGCCCGAGTAGCAAAACGCAGACGGCGTGGAGTGGAGAGTCGCGGCCGAGAGAGAAAAAGAAACGAAACGAAAATGAAAACTGGCTGGACGAGCGTGCTGCCTGGCAGTGCCTGCGGCTGCCTGCTGATGAATCGAGAATCGCCGAAGGAATGCGCGGGAAGGCGACGCGACGCGACGCGGGGACCGTGGCGTAACCCAGGCCAAATCGGACGCAAGTCTGTATGCATTAAAAAAAAAAAAAAAAACTCAGTAAAAAAAGCCGCGCAAATTTAAAGGCAAATTGAAAGTACAAAATTTTGACGTGACCAGAGTGCGCCGTCCGGGGGAAATCACTCGCGTGATAGTCGGGTCACCGATTCCTAGTATTACGCGTAATAGTAATAGCGTAATAGCCAAATTTAAAAAAAAATCCCTATTTAGGATCCGATTTTAGCCTAAATCTCGATATTTTCCAGCGTAATAAGCCTTCTGTAATAGCGTAATAGAGCGTAATAGGGAGTAGTCGGGTCACAGTTTTTAAGAGTGATTTCCCCCTCGGCGCCGTCCTGTACGTAGCTTCAGAGCTTCTGTCACGAAGGCCAGCCAGAGTCTCTAGTACGTACCAATGCGGCGCATCCATTTCGTATCTTGTGGTATTTTATCTTGACTTTGGGATTACTGGCGAAATCCGAGTCTGAGACATTCGGCCCCGATGTGACAGGACGCACGCACGCCGGTCGAGTCGAGTCGAGTGACAGGTGACGCAGCCTTCGGAACGAACGCCGCAGTCGTTCGCGCCGTCGTTCGTTGCTGCGAATATTTTTTCATTTGCGTTTCAACGCGAATCGACGATTCACTGCGAGCGATGCACGTCGTTGAAGCGAATGGCACGGCACTGCAATGAGTGGGGCTCGGTTCGCATTTGTGCAAGATGACGTCCCATTGGTTGCCTGGCTGTCGGCAGTGCAGGGGGAATGCCGGGGAATGCCCAACTGGGCTTCACCCATTCGCGGCTTCGGCGCACTGTGTAGGGGCGAATTTTGAAACAATATCTGATTTCTTGACGTTTTTCTTGTTTTTTTTTGGCACAGTTCAGCCGGGGGTTGGGGGGTGGTTTTGTCGCCGGGTTGCGCGCGTTGCCGTCCGGGTGGCGCTGTTGCTTGGCGAGCCGAGACTCGGCCGAGACGGCCCCTCCGGTGCCTCCTCCGCTTGGCACTTGCAGTGGAGTGGAGTCGCCGCCATCCGCCATTGATTTTCTCATTGATTGAGCGAACTGCACATGGCAGACATCCGGTCGCGTCGTGTGTGTTTGTGTGCGCGGGTACGGGGCCAGGCCAGGCCGGCCAGACGCCAAGCCGAGCCTAGCTGCGCCGCAGCGTGGGG